ACAAGTCAAACGCTGCCTTTCTAGAACCCTTGTGATGTGAATTAGATCCACTTTGTAGAATAGAACCCCACCCCAAACCTTTAAAATTACTTCAAGTGCCCTCGATTGCAATTCAAACATAATTATCTCTTTATCTCCTTCAGCCTTTACATTTGAACAGAAGTGCTTGAAGAAAACAAAAAGCATTAAGAGGCTTCTTGAGCTGGGGTTTCTCATACAAGTGCCTTAATATTAATCCTGGCTTAATGCTATAATTTGATTAAATTAGTTTAAAAACCTTAAGCATATTATTTTTCTGCTTAGCATTGTACAAATGGATACAGTCATTCCACCCATGTTTACATAAATACTCTTTTCTAACTTAGGTCCCACCAACTCCACAGAAACTGACAAGAAGTAATAATCTGTATTCCAGAGAAGCAGATCTGTTTAAATTGAGTGTGTGTGTGTGTGTGTGTGTGTGTGTGTGTGTGTGTGTGTGTGTGTGTGTTTGAGCACGTGTCAGACAGCAAAACGAGAAAATAAACTGGTGCAATGAGTTGCTTCTCATCAGGGTAAGAAGAGAGGCAGATGAAGTGACACACCCATCATGCCTAGTGCCTACTGTACAAGCCTGTGGTGGCAGTGCTATGATCTAGGGTTGCTGCAGTTGGTCAGGTTCAGCAACAGGTTGTGCTCCAAGAATGAAGTCAGCTGACTACCTGAACCTACTGAATGACCAGGTTATTCCATCAACGGATTTTTTTCTTCCCTGATAGCACAAGCATGTTCCAAGATGGCGATGCCCGGATTCATCAAGCTCACATTGTGAAAGAGTGGTTCAGAGAGCATGAGGGTTCATTTACACATTGATTGGCCACCACAGAGTCCAGACCATAACCCCATTGAGAATCTTTGGGGATGTGTTGGAGAAGGCTTTGTGCTGTGGTCAGACTCTACTAGGGCTGGGCGATACGGCCTAAAATCAATATCATGATATTTTGATGATTTCACCTCGATAACGATAAATGGACAACTACACGAATGTGCAGAAACAAAAGTTGTCCACTAGATGGGGCTGTCATGTGTATCAATCGCCTCTGTCAGTGTGTCCCAGGGCAGCTGTGGCTACATTGTAGCTCATCACCATCAGTGTGTGAATGTGTGTGTGAATGGATGAATGATACACTGTAGTGTAAAGCACCTTGGAGTCCTTACTCTGAGAGACGCTATACAAGTGCGGATCATTTATCATTTATATTATGTTGAGTCATATTTTTACGTTACTCAAGGTTAGGGCTGAACGATCTATCGTTTTTGGACTGAAATTGCAATTTCAAACAGCACGATCACGTGACAGTCAAAGCTGTGGTTTTAGCGGTTTTGACTGATCCAGGATCAGTTGTGTAACTTTTTTTACATCCGGGGTTTTCCCCCGGTGTTATGGCGGCAGCAAAAGCCAGCACGGGGGGGTGGGGGTGGGGTGTACCGTCCAGAGCCAAGCCCAACTCCACAGCTGACAGAGCTGCATGTTCAGGTTATTTTCCCTGTTTTATGTTCCCACACACAGCGCTGCTAGGGCTGAAAATAATGGCACCGTAGGTGAGCCCGGGACAGAGAGAGAACGTAAAGCAAGGGAGAGAGAGACTCCTCCCACATCGGAGCAAGTTCAGGCTGATTTCTAAAGCTTGGTTTATGCTTCATCAGCGCGAGTGCGGAGTCGCACACTTTAGTTGACTTGAAAGCTTAACTTCTCTTTTAAAAATGGCTTGAATGTTTCTGATGGCACACGTTAGTTCAAATAAGCTAAGGTGTCAGAATGTGTGCCTCTCTCACGGAACTGACGTTAGTGAGGAAAAACTTATCAGACAGCTTCGAAAATCGTGCAACCAGCCTGCCGCGGTAATGCAGGGAAAATTGTGTGCATTTTTCTGTTATTTAATACATTCAAAAGCTATTTCTACCTACAGATTTCCTCCATGCATTTTTGGAGTAGAACATGTTTTTATAAAGCTCCTCTCTAGATGAAAATCACAAGCACAAGTTGCTTCACAAACACGAAAAATAATAATAATGGGAGAAAATATTAATAGCTTTGACTGTTTTTATTGTATGATTAAATAGTAAATATTAATGTGAATGATTTGTTGTACTAGATTAGAATCTAGACCATATTTTCACTCAATCTACAGGATGGCTTGGCAGGCTAGTGTCGGATCTTTGTTTGCGGAAAATCGTAAATTGAACCAAAATCGCAATTTCAGCAAGAAAAACTGCAATTCAATCTTTTCCTAAAATCATTCAGCCCTACTGAAGGTGGTACAGCTTCTTAAAGAGATATCAATGTTGCCAACCTACACACATCTTTTCATTTTTTATAACCAAATTTATTGACATGGGAAAAATAACCTTGAAAAGAGTCAGAAATTTCGATAGCGATACATTTTCGATTTATTGCCCAGGCTTCGACTCTACCATCATCAATACAAGATCTTGGTGACAAATTATTGCAACACTGGATGGAAATTAATCTTGTGACAATACAGAAGCTTATTGAAACTATGCCACAGTAAATGTGTGCCGTAATCACAGCTAAAGGTGGTCCAACAAAGAGTGCGTGACCTTTTTCATTTGTTTGGGGCCGGGCAGTGAACACTGTACTACTCCCCCTTAAACATGTTTCATCCAGTTCAACAAGTGTTACATATTACATTCTGACCCCTGATCTCTGACAACAAGCCATGAGCGAGTTAACGGGGGTAGACTTTGACTTGTCCAGATAAACTAACAATCAGCCAGGTGAAAGATGTCGACATTCATCAGTTACTCTAGTCTGCGTAGTTTAGGACTTGGCTCTTCAGAATTTGCTGCTATGGTCGTTTCAGAAATGATTAAATCAACGCCTTTTTTAAAAGATATGCAAAACAGAAAAAATAAAAGTAAAAATAAACTGGATGTCGCTTTACAAAACCTTTGACATCAAGAAAGGGATTTGTTGGCACACAAACGTGGCAGATTGTGTATTTGTATCTGTAATTTCTTAAAACTTATATATATATATAAATTAGGGATGGGTACCTTTGACATTTGAATCAATCTGGTACTAATTCCCGGTACCTACGAATCGATACCGGTACTTAACGGTACCAATTTTCGATACTTTTGAGTGTTTATTATTTTAATTCTCTTTTATAATTAAATATATATTTTTCTCAATATATAACAATATTTGATAAATATCACGATAAATAACATACAACTGTTTGTCCTTGGGTTAGGATGGAATGGAAGCTAAGATATCAAGCTAACGTTATCTTAAACAGTTTATTTAGCTGCTGGAGCAGATTAAAACGATGATGCCTCACACTTAGATCGTTGTCACTGGTTTTGTCTTCACCCGTCACATTTAGTAAAGTGAAGCCAAACTTTAGAGCGCGTTCATGTTCTTCTAGTCGGGAATTCGGAGTTCCGAGGAGAAAGCGAACGCACCATTAGCGAAACGGAAGCTAACATATCAAGCTAATTATATTTACCTACCGGAGCAGATTAAGATGAGGATGTCTCACTTAGATCGTTGTCACTGGTTTCATCATCACCCAGTTACCCATCACATTTAGTGAAGTGGACCCAAGCTTTAGCCTGCGTTCTTTCTACCATGCTACTCTGTTTACAACTGGTTCGCAGCGAGCGACGACAAAACGCTCTTGCGCATGCGCAGCTGTTTTGGCAAGTTCTCGTTATGATGGACGGGTACCGAAACGAGGCACCGTTTGAAATGACGTGAATCGGTGCTCGGTCGGTACTATGGAATTCGGTCGGTACCTTAAAAAGTACCGAATTCGGTACCCATCCCTAATACATATTTTTTTCCCCTCACAACAATCCTTCTCAATCAAAAGTTACCTCAACTCTCTACTATTTCGTGCCACTGGGCAGGAGGTGAAATGATGAGATTCATTGTGACATCAATGGTGTTCAAAATATTCATAGAAAAATCATTTCCCTTAATTCACTGAATAGAGGAGCACATTTATACAACCTCTCACAACATGTTGAGACAAATAACAAGTCAGTTCTTAAATTCCTAGAATCTTCGATTTAAGCAAGACAATGAAGGAACAACCTACACCTTCACTGATTTGCACTAGTAGCAGTTTCTAAAACAAAGAGATGAAGAGGAGTACATGTGGTCACCTGTTAATGACCTGCTGTAAGTTACATTCTCTTAATGTGTCTGGCTTACTATCATCTCAGTTTCAGCTGAAAGTGTCGATCCATCACAGACAACTCAAGGCTAAACGCGGATATGATCTAAAACTAGAGCAATTTTCTTTACTGGGAGTGTATTAGGGTTACAAGTAAGTCAGTTCAATTAAATTTAAATAAAAAACAAGAGGCTGTTTCAAGGGATTTTATCATAAGAATCTCAACAGAGCTCAAATATATCCATGATGCTGTGCGATCAGTATCCGACCGAGCACATGACAGGATTTAGAGTCAAGCTAAACATTTCCGATCGAGCCAGACAGGAAATCAAACACAAAAGTAGAGTAAAGCATCTGGAAAATTTCAAATGAAAAGATCGGTGCAGATTTCTCATCGTTTAACGATATCAAAACATACATGTGTCACCTCCTTGACAGGTAAAAAGCACAGAAAGTAAACCACAGACCTCTGGATACATTTCACCTTGATTTTTATCACATGAACTGGTGAAATCACACTTGAGATCTTGGCAGTTCTGTGGTTCCTTGATTTCCACGTCTGAAAGATTTCCAGTAGAAACGGAACACCTCTGAGGTCGCAATGAAAACGCATTTATTACGTCAAACGCCACTCAGGCATCCAGTGGAAAGAAACAATAAAAAGATAAAACGGAGAGACGATAAGACACAATAGATCAGATCAAATAGAGACATGGTGAAAGTAGAATCCAACACTTCTGAAAAATCACTCATTTGTTTACATTTTTTTTTGACAAGTCGACAAAAGATGAAGATAAAAAGGTACAAAGAACCAACCTGATACAGCTTAATGATGTGGGGGTGGTCCAGCATCTTCATGATCTGAACTTCCCTGTAGATTTTCTCCAGGTTCACAGCGTCTAGCTGGGTCTTGTCAATAATCTTAATGGCCACCTGCAGAAACATCAACCATCAGCAATACAACAATAGTCAGTTCCTTGATGACATGTAGCTGAGGTGCTTGTTTAGGCTCATGAGAAGTGATGAACACAAAAACTAGCCGCAGTGCAAAACAGTAATTCAACAAACATAAAAACAGGACACTGTGTTCCTTTTCTAGCTTATTTTTGTTTTAGCTTTTTCTACGAATCGAATGATGGGATTAAAAATGTTCGGAAACCGTCTTGACCTTTAATCCAACAGGTAAATACATTCCTGTCACACTCACGGACATGAACGAATGTAAACAGCATCTTCGAACCCTAAACATCACGGGCATTTGTTGCTGAAGTCTGGTGGGTAACAAGGCAATAATAGCACCTCTCTGCCTGACTTTCTCATAAACAACAAAATCACCAGTGTGATCTGAAATGCTCCAGGCATCTGTGAGCCAAAAGGAGAAGTAAACAGGAAACCCCAGATCTCTGCACTCACACCACCGTTAGGTGAACTTGAACATTTGAGATGAAAGTCTGCCAACAAATAAAGCTGATCAGGGGGAGCAAATTTCAACCAACCAAACAAAAATCCTAATTTTCTTTTTCATAATGATTAATTTAACATTTATTTGGTCTTTGATCAGTTAGACTTCTAAAGGTTGATCAAATGGCGACAGACTGTGCAGCGATTCGATCCCTGGATGTTCGTTTTATCCTCCATCTTTATTCAGAGATATCCATCAGATCTACTCTGTTCATATTACAAAGGAATGTGTAGCTGCACTGGATGGCCACCTGATGCAAAAGCATGTTGCAGCAACAGATGAACTGATAAATGATGCCTGTATTTGTTCCCTTAACCTGTCTGCTGCATAAAAGCAGAGGTATTAGTCAAATAAAGAACAGTGCTGCATTTTCGGTTTTGTGTTTACAGTGAGCTTTAATTTGCTTTCAGTGGCAGTGAAATCTGTCACTTATCTTGAGCTTCCTTCAGCATATCTGACGTTGCTGCTCAACAATGAGCAGCTGAGGGAGTTTTAATAGGTTTAACACTCCATTATTATCTCCCTTGTCACGACACAGACTGGCATGCAGTACTGTATGGCATTAAATCCTGCAAAGAAATCTAAATCTTATAGTGCTAACTTGCAAATTTTACATTTCTGATGAATGCATCTTCGGTATTCAAACGGACTGTGCTGGAAACAATACTGAACAAGCACACAAAGCAAAAGACAACTCTTTAACTCTGCGAGTGCAAGGCCAATTGGAAGAAAAGGAGTTACAATGGGAATTTAGTGCCTCATGAAATAGTAAAAACAGGAAAACTGGACAGCGCTTAGGACAGACGTGGATCACTGTTGGACCAAAACTATGCAAACAAGTGGCAAAATGTACAAAATGAGACAAATAGGTCAGTTAGAAAAAGTAGGTTACACACATGCACATAAGCAACCCACCTATCTAGGGACGTGTGTGTGCATGAGCACAAGTCAAATCTGCTGTGTCATGTGTTATTAAAACATTAGTTTACTGCCCACACATGCAACAGGCCTGGCATCACTAGACCTAGAGGTAAATGGCTTCAAATAAATGTTCAGAATCTCTCTCTCCAATAACCTTGGTCATATGCTCCATGTGACCTCCTCTAGCAAATACCAAATACACGTCACACATTTTATCCACACAGCCAAACAGATGAACACACCAAGTGTCGCACAAGACATTTTCTCTCCCTGTTATTCATTAGTCTGTCTGAGTGTCTCTGTTTTTCTTTACAGTATAATCAGCAAAAAACAAACTGCACAGATCAAAGATTAAAATCCTTAACTTTTATTTTTACAAGTCTTTAATCTTATGTTCAGAACACACCCCAGCATGGCTTTTGTAGTGTGATCACTGTTTACAGTAAATTCCCTGTCTCTGTCATTACAGCAGAACGTCATGGTACTCCATGGTACTGCTTCAGTAAGCCCTTTTCTGCAGAGAGCTGACAGATGAACTGTTTCTTATGTGCTCGAGCTGCAGCGACTGAGAGCCTGGAGTGTTTGCGATATCAAACCCCTTTCCAAGCTATGCAAGGACTCAAAAGAGTCGGTGCATGCATGCCTGCAGAAGACTTTGCTTTCAGATTGCAGAGACGTGGCTGGCTGCACTGCTGGAACATCGCATCATTAGTTGGATTACATAATGAGACCACCAACTCCTTCTGCATCCCCAGATACTGACATGTCTTTTTCTTTGACACTGGGTCATTAAGTGAGAACAGGTGTATGATGTCAAGTCCGGTGTAAAACCGAGTGTGCATGTTTACAGTGTGTTTCCCAGCAGCACTGGCGGTCAGATCTCTTACTGGCAGTGAAATCCCGAGAGGGATGGACGTGCTGAAGCTCACTAGCTCCTGTACCTGCAGGGTCCGAACCTGTGGCAGTCATGTGGCCGCCGGCTGTTCAGCCGCCGCCCGACCAGAGTTTCTATTAGTGTGTGATGTCGGGACAGAGCCCCCCTGTCCACCGCGAAAGCCTGGGGTGTCAACTTAAAAGTTATATAACTCAATAGAACAGTAGCCCAAAGTTAGCCTTTGGGGCTAACAAGTTCGCACTCACCTCGGTCTTGGTTATGCGGTGTCTAGCCAGCTTCACGACAGCGAAGTTGCCCTTTCCTAAAGTGCGCTCGATGTCGTAGAAGCCCACCCTGACCGGACCCCGAAACAGCGGTTTCTGGACATTGTCAGCCATGACCATGCTGTTGTAAATGGGAGCTGTTTCGGAGAGTTCTGGGGGGGTAGAGAGAGACACGCGGAGGAGGAGGAGGGGGACCCACGGCCAGCTAGAGATAAAGACGAAAGGAAAACAAACCGCCCGCTGCCACCGCCGCTCGAAGCGTGTCCATTAAAAATAGACAAAGTTGATTTCTGCGTCGCCCCGCCGGCTCACGCGCCAATGTGGCGGCTCTCTCCCTCAGCGCGACAGGCCATTAGCGGAGCCACGGGGCTGTCACACCACGTTCTCCGGCACAATAGAGTTCTAATATTTCAGCCCGAGGTGCCTCTATCTGCTACAGAGCACACGAGTTGACTTGCAAAGAGGCATCATGTTCTCTGGTTGACGTGTATTGACGTCAAAGCCATAGGGGTATTTGTACAGGAGGCGGAGCCACGGAGCGACTCCACACTTCAGTGCCAATTGGTTGCCACGACAACCAGACCCACCTCTTACGTCAACCGGTAAAATTGCTGTTCTGAAATCTGTTTGCTCGCCTGGCCTCTTTGATTGCACGCATAGGTAACTTTGAAGTCCTGCCCTGCAGGTGTTTGCCGAGCGTTTGTCTGCTGCAGCTTCAAAAATGCAAGAGAAAAAAAATGTTAATGAGAGTCATTTGGTGCATTTAAGAGTGGCGTGAAACGTGCACCTCTTTGTAGGAGATAAAAAAGTGCTCTAATGTATTAATATTAATAGAGGAAAAAATGAATACAAATATATTCTGCATTTTATGTTAAAACATCTCGAATTTCGAGTACTTTTAACATGATTTAACATGAATTAAAAAATGCCAAAAATGGAAAAAAAACGCAAAAGTAGTTCGAAAATATATATCACAAATGCCACATAAACACAGACATTTTAAATAGTAAAGACACCTCTGATTGCCTGTGTAACAGCACCACCTGTCGGTGAAACAAAACAAAAAACAACACATGGGCCACACATTTCTCCTTTCCACTTCTTTGTACTTAATTATCAACCGTTCTAGTAATTACATTCAAACACACACACACATACATCTAAAGCATCACACACACTCCAAATTATAGTTATACAAGTACAAATGCAGTTAAATTCACCCATGTTATTATCAAATAAGGAATGTGACCGCAACATCTTGTAGCCAAACCATATGGAAATGACTTTCATGCCTAAAACACAGCCCACATTCACACTCAGAGAGTGTTCTCTTCCGTTGCCCTGTCACAGTGTTTAACAGAGCAGTGGACTGCTAAGCGAGGCAAAGGCCTCCGCTGTCACGCTCAGACTTCCTTAATGTAAGAGTTCCAGATGTGCTTTTGGCATTTCCTGTCTAACGTTCTCCAAGAACACACTCAGCCTCTCCTTACTGGGATTGCTGCATCTCTCCAAATCATGAAACCCAAACAGCCCACGCTGAGTATATGCTCAAGGATTTATTTTAAGAAATATGCATCTGTGTTATTTTTGCAAAATTACATAGGAGGCACACACTTGTTCAACTGACTTTGAGAGATCAGTGAAGGGATTGAGCTTCTTACAAAGACAAAAAAATAAATCAGCAATCCAACAGCAATAAGATCTATTTTGGTCAGCAGAGTTCTGTCATCGCTGCTTCCGAATGTACTGTCCTGTTCCCTGACACCAGGGTCCAAACAGGAAGCTCTACACAGGAATGACAGAAGGTTGAAATACTCCCATCACATCAAAGAGCCAAAATGATGCTTTTTAGACCCCAACCTTGTAACCTTTTGTTCACGTGTCACAGTAAATCCGGTGACATGTTCTATAAATCTGTCACTTTGGACTAATTGTGAATTGTTTACAAATGAGCAACCTTGTGGAGGTCCTTACATTTATACTTTCAGGGTTGCATGTAAATTCTCCCAGTTTGAGCAAATCTAATTCAACCTTCATGCGTCTGAAAATCAATAAATTTAAAACACCAACAGGAAATAGTTTAAACCTGGTGGCTGCACATATAACAAGTCTGTTAGCTTTGAAGTTCTTAACATATTGATGGTCACAATAAGCGGAATGGGTCACAGTTTCAGTCTCATTCCCTTGTTTTTATGTTTTTATTTCAAATGCTTTTTGTATTAAAAAAGTCACAACAATCAACAAATGTTTGCGTGACTAAAATTGGCACTTTTATTTGGAAATATAGTCTAAACATATATTAGCTGGAGTCTCGTGATAATTGCTACTTGCTTGTCAGTCCTGATTGTCTATTTAACTCTAAATACCCAGAACAATTCACAAATTTCCCCAAATTTGTGTTTATTTTGAATAAAAAAACCATCTTGGGATTGCTGTGGGTCTTTGTTTTGATTATTAGCATTTATTTGAAAGATTTTGAATATATGTTTATATGGGGTTATGCAAATATTCTGAGATGAACACCAGCAACACAAATCTAGTCCATATAAGATCACACAAACACACAGCAGTGAACAAGTACCACACAAATATACAGAATAGGGATACAGAATAGTACAAGTCTCTCATTCTATATTTTTCACAATAGTCAAAGACCCCAGATGGACAATTATTATCCATAGATCTCATTTTCCACCCATCCTGTCTGACCGCGGCAAGGCCGACCTCTGCAAGGCTCATAGATGTCATTGGTCACAAAGCCGCTCTCCTTGTCAGGACTCGCCACATTCTCATAGTCGCCATATTGGGAGTCATAAGAAGGAGTGCAGGAGTATTTTGCTGTCTCCTTTGCTGGTGCTCTGCAGTCCAGTGAATTATGGGGCAGTTTGGTTACATCGCTAAAGGCGTATGGTCCTTGTAGAGGGACTGAAGTTGCTGTGGACATCCACTGCTTTGATCTGCTATGGTAGCTTTCTGTTTCCGTCTTTCTCCTGATTGTTAAAAAGAAGATGCACGTCAGGAAAACAGTGAAAAAGTCAGTTTCTCTACTCTTCCGCAGCTCTGCTTTCACCTTTTTGCACGATGTTTGTAGCAGAAGAAGCCAGCGGCTGCCAACAGAAGCAGGACTAGAGCAGGAATAGTGGCATAGAGGATGTATGAAACATAGAGGGTGTTTTCTGAGAAAGACACTGAAAAAAAAGTTTATTTTGTTTAACTGTTTTAAAACACATCAATACGTAAAATATGTTTCAAATGAATTTCCAACAAAGAATGAAAGCTAGAGATTTTTATTTACCTGATGACTCGGGTAGTCCCATTTCTATTTTGTTAACTCCTTCTGTTGTTGAGAATATGCTTGGCCTCAGAGATGGAACTAGAGAACCGGAAATAAAACCGTTACATTTGACAACATGAAATGTTCAACTAATTCCAAAGCAGATGAAAACAAAAATCACTTAAATTTGGTTAAATATTTTGCACAACCTTTATGACTGTTCAAGGTCAATAATCACATGCAACAGCCAATTTGACAAGGATACGTTATGTTAGCAAGATGCCGCATACAGCAGCTCATTTGATTAAAAGTAAACAACTAAACCCTCGGAGCACTTTTACATCTAGAGCTCTTCTTTTAAAGGAGAGGAAGCTTGAAATGTGAGAAATCTTAATGTTTTCAACGTTTAATTAAAATGACTGGCAGTCCGGAACTGCGCTGCTCTGAGTGGCTGCATGTTGAGTAGCTCTGTTGACTATATGTTAGTTTGGCCTTTTCTTGGACATTTTTCTTCTAGTTTCTCAAGAAAAACAGTATTCTTTTGGACATTTCACTTTTCTGTTTCTGGTGCTGTGAAGCTTGGAGGATTTTTACTGCTATTTTTTCAGTTTTTGAGCATTTGTTATGATGCGTAACCATGGCAACAAGCTGGTTTACAATCGGGAGCAGCTGATTAACATTGGGAAGGCTGAAATAATACCTCAAATGAAGCCACAAATCTCAAATGAGCTAAAACGCAAGAAGCGAGGGTGCAGAGCGGGAGCAAAACGGAGACAGAGAAAGAGGAAATTCAAACCATCTCTTCCATCAATCATAATGGGCAATGTGAGATCACTGGCCAACAAGATGGATGAACTCCAAGCCCTTTCAAGGACTCAGCCAGAGTTTCGGCAGTGCAGTGTTATGTGTTTCACTGAGACGTGGCTGCAGGACCATATCCCCGATTCCAGCGTCTCTCTGCCAGGATTCCTGACTGTACGAGCAGACAGAGATCTGAAGAGGAACGGGAAAAGAAAAGGAGGTGGAGTGGCAGTGCTTGTCAACAACAGATGATGCCATCCAGGTCATGTTTCAGTGAAATGTCGTCTCTGCAGCCCAGATGTTGAACTCTTGGCAGTAAGTTGTCGCCCATATTATTTGCCAAGAGAGTTCACCAGTGTTGTCTTGGCAACCGTTTATATTCCACCTTCAGCCATTGCTGAAAATGCATGTGATGCCATCAGTTCCGTTGTCGCTAAGCTACAAACCTAGCACCCCAATGCATTTGTGGCTATATCTGGTGATTTTAATCATGCCTCACTCTCTACTACACTTCCAACATTTCAACAGTTTGTCATCTGCTCCACCAGAGAAAACAAGACATTGGATTTGTGTTATGCAAATGCAAAGAATGCATACATGTCCAAAACAAGACCTCCTCTGGGACAATCAGATCACAATCTTGTTTTTCTCTGCTCAGAATACAAACCACTTGTTCAGAGGCAACCTGTGACAAGAAGAACTGTTAGAAAATGGTCACCAGACGCTGAAGAAGCCCTGCAGAGTTGTTTTGAGACCACAGATTGGATGACTCTCGGCCAAGGATATGAAGAGGACATCAATGCCATGACTGGATGTGTCACTGACTATATAAACTTCTGTGTGGACACCATCATACCCACCAGAACAGTGAGATGCTTCGCTAATAACAAACCCTGGATCACCAGTGAACTGAAGAATCTGCTAAATGAGAAAAAAAGAGCCTTCAAGGAGGGAGACAGGGAATTACTGAGGAGTATACAGAAGCAACTGAAGATCAAGATCAGAGACAGCAAGGAGGCATACAGGAAGAAACTGGAGAACAACCTACAGAGGAACAATATCAGAGATGTCTGGTCAGGGATGAAGAAGATCACAGGCTTCAAGCAGAGGAAGGATTGCACAGATGGCAGCCTGGACACAGCCAATGAACTGAACAAGTTCTTCAATAGGTTCAGTTCAGGAACAAACCCAGCATCCTCCTCACCTGTCCCCAGCCAATCAGACATCCCATCCTTCATCTGATCCAACATTTTCCTGTCACACGCCAGCTCTTTTGTCCTCTAACACAGATATGGACTCTTCTGGCTCCATATTTCTGTCTTCAACCAAATCAGGAGATGCTGCTGCCCCATTAACCTCCCCCTCCCACCTATCTGTCTCTAGAAGTCAGGAGAAGAGGCAGCTGGAGAGACTGAACAGGAACAAGGCTGCAGGTCCAGATGGTGTCAGCCCCAGGGTACTGAAGGCCTGTGCAGAGCAGCTCTGTGGGATTCTGCAGCACCTCTTCAACCTCAGCCTGGCCCAGGAGAAAGTTCCAGTCCTGTGGAAGACATCCTGCCTTGTTCCAGTTCCAAAGAAAACTCGCCCATCAGTCAATGACGACTACAGACTGGTTGCCCTGACATCCCACATCATGAAGGTCCTGGAGAGACTCCTGTTGGTCCACCTGAATAAGCAAACTAGAACCTATCAGGACCCGCTGCAGTTTGCTTATCGCCGTGGAGTTGGAGTTGAAGATGCCATCATCCAGCTGCTTCAGCCAATCCACTGTCATCTGGACAAAGCAGGCAGCACTGTGAGAGTCATGTTCTTTGATTTCTCCAGTGCATTTAACACAATTCAGCCTGATGTACTTTGCCAGAAACTCCAGAAGACACAGGTGGGGACCTCAACTATCGCCTGGATTAAAGACTACCTGACAAACAGACCACAGTTTGTGAGGCTGAAGAACTGCACATCAAACCAGGTGATCAGTAACATTGGAGCACCACAGGGGACTGTACTCTCACCATTCCTTTTCACCCTGTACACCTCAGACTTCCAGTACAAATCAGTGACCTGTCATCTACAGAAATACTCAGATGACTCTGCAGTTGTCGGGTGTATCAGAGAAGGACAGGAAGCTGAGTACAGAGAGCTGGTGGAGCTTTGTGGCATGGTGTGGAAACAATCATCTGACCTTGAAACAAAGGAGATGATTTTAGACTTCAGAAGAAACAGGGTGGAGTCAAACACTGTTTCCATCATGGGAGAAGAAGTGGAGGTGGTTGAGGAATACAAATACCTTGGAGTTCACCTGGACAACAGACTGGACTGGAGAAAGAACAGTGAAGCCGTTTACAAGAAGGGACACAGCAGACTGCACTTCTTGAGGACGCTTAGGTCCTTCAATGTCTGTAGCAAGACGCTGCACATCTTCTACAAGTCTGTTGTTGAGAGTGTAATCTCTTCAGCCATCATCTGTTGGGGTAGCAGCATCAGAAGCAGGGACCTGACAAGGCTCAACAGCCTGGTAAAAAAAAGGCTGGTTCTGTTCTGGGGACGACTGTGGAACCACTGGAGGAGATAATGCAAAGAAGGATTCTCCAGAGAATCAAGAAAATTATGGACAACCCTGAGCATTCTCTTCACAAGACTGTCCGACAACGGAAGAGTGTCTTCAGTCAGAGGCTTTTTCAGTTTCGCTGCAACACTGACCGCTACTGGAGATCCTTCCTGCCAACAGCCATTGTAATATACAATAACTCTTTGATGACTTGATTATTATTATTATTCTGAGCTACTACAGCAATCAATTTCCCTCTGGGATTAATAAAGTATTTTTGAATTGAATTGAATTGATTTATAAAACAGAGTAGCCTTGTGCACACCCAGACTGTGTGGTACCTGCTTGTGTTTTTCTCCTGTCACCTGTAATGATGGGTACTTTATCTGCAAATACAAAATACTCTGATTAAAATATATTTAATGTCACGTTCCTGTTCACACACATTTGAAAATAAACCAAAGGTTGTAAATTTAAAGGCATACTTTTTCATATTTTTAAATCGTGTGCTAAAATGACCCTTTTCAGGGTTAATGAAGTGTCACTTATGGGCCATTCCCATCTGCACCGGGTCGGCCCGGGCCGGGCAGCGTAGGTTGTTTACATATCTGGGTGGCCTGGTATTTTTCTGGGCCAACCAAGGCTCATTCTCAGCCCTCTTCTCGAGGGGGTCTGCTTCAGGCCGACCAGGGCCAACACACCCACTGCTGACAGCAAATTCACACCTTCCATTAAAGCAAGCCTCTGATTGGTGGGTAGAATCAGCCCACATGGGCTTAAGGCAAGGATGTGTGGAATCAACCGGGCCAGGCTGGGGCCGCCCTCTGTGGCCACTTGCAACTTAAAAGTCTGATCCGGCTCCTGTTGGATTTAGAGAAAAGGAGCTGACATGCCTGTGTTGCAGTCTGCTTCCAGCACATTAACTGCATGTTTTAGATCATGAACACAGCTGATTTTGTTTAATTTAGTGATATTAATGAAGGCTGAGGTGATATTTCAGCTAAAGAGCAAGTCACCCCCTACCAGTCTTAATCCACTCCCACTTCCTGTTTGAAAAATGCAACAAATACTGTTGACTGAGACGGCGGAGCTGCTAACTAATACACAATGTGACATCATAATGTACCAGCTAACATCATAGTGTACCTCTTAGCCAATTGTGATGGCAGATTTAAATTCAAATGCAGTGCAGATACCAGAAAATGGTACAATACTGACAGTTTTAGGCAGAATATTGAAATTTTACCTGAGATGCACTAAAGTGCCAAAATATTGGCCACACGTGTCCACAGCACGATTAGACACCCATTTATATTGTTTATCAGCAAAAAACAGCTGATTTGGAGGTGACTAGCTCTTTTACCCCGGTTTGACTCTGAAAGCTTCAGCGGCGCAAAACAGCAGTGGAACGGTTAACTAGCAAACTTCAAAGAAATCCTTTTCACACCGAGAGTTTCTTGACAGCGGCACGGCTTCCTCGCTGTGCTCTTCGCTGGACTCGTGAGCTCGCAAGATCCCTCAAGAATTCAAGTCACAGTTTGTTTATGCAATCTGCCGTTAAACCAAAAAGACGGAAATCACGTTTGATGCCATATATGATGTTGTTCCTCTCCACTGCCGGAATTAAACCCATGAAAAACACACCGCTGCACTTCTGGAACGATGCTGTGAGTAAAAAAGGCCGTTGGGTCACACGTAAGTTTCATAAATATGAAATTGCATCGGTACCTTTATTTTGAAAATTACCGGGGACTTTACACTGAAACGGTGTGATTTCCTGTCTAGCCTTATATTAAATTGCGGAAAGTGACATGTTCCAGAATGTGGCAAAAATAGAACCCGACCCGATCTTTAATGGCACGGCGTGCCGTTTCTGGGACACGCCTGGAAACTGCCGCGTCGCTGCTGGATCGAAACACTCCATAGACTATAACAGATTCCATTTGAAGCAGTGACGTTCCGTGGTCATTCCTCTCCACTGATGCTTTTAGTGTGAAACTGAGGGAAGGTGTGAAAAAGACAACGCACAGCGAAGAGATAAGTTTCACTTTTGCTTTCATAGATGAAACACTAGGGGGTGCTAAATGCAAGCCAAACCTGCACAGCATCCCTCTAAAATACACAAACAAACACACTAAAATAAATCTCAATAGATCAGGATAGATTACTTTTTACTAATAAAGCTCTAGAAAAAGAGAAAGAGCACAGAAAAATCATCAGCATTCCTTTACAATCAAGAGGAAGAAGAGAAAAAGCTGCGCTGCTTGAACTTTCTGCAACAAGGGCAACATAAAGTCCCTCAACAGCAGTGTGAGAGTGGTGGAAAGCCTGCCAAGTGGTTTAAACCTGTACTGATATGAATGTGTTTGAAAAGTAAAAATCAGAATTTCCCAGCAGTCGGAGCCAGGTGCAACGGCCGCACGGGCTCACCTTCTCGGTATTTGCAGACAAAGTTGTTTTTAGAGCTGCAGTTCTCGTCATTCCATTTGAAAAGGAAATGAGCATCTTCATCACGAGGAGCAGAGGGCTGGTGGTACAAAACCACACACATTTCAGTACCGCACGAAGGCTCGTCCCACTGCCAGTTCCTGCAACACAAAAATAAAAAGTTTAGATTCATGTTTAAATGAGAAAACGTCACTGTTCCATTCCACTAAACCTGTATTTGGCTTTGCTTCCATCCAGCCAAGAGTACTGGGAGGGGCAGCCCAGATTAGAGTTCCCTGCACTGTGATGCTGCGGGCTGCGATGGAGCCCGATCCAGAAGTCTCCGTCTCCAACCTTCAGCTCTTGTATGAACCTCTCCATGAGGTGCTGCTCGCTGTCTGTCTCAACGCTGAGCAGCTCGCCTCCGTCAGACCTGCAGGCCTGTCTGGCATCCTCAAAGGTCAGCCTACGCCTGCTGTCCTGGATGTAGAAGGCCTTGTAGCACGGGCGCTCTGTTCCACGTCGACAGATTCTCTCCCCTAGAGACCAAGGGCAGCATCAGGCAGAAGAAGACCAGATGATAAACACAGTGATTTAAACTTTTCTGAGGCTTTTCTTCCTGTGGCCTCAACAGCACAGATTACAATACAGGACATGTCTAAAGTGCTTTAAAAACCTTAAACGTATCATTTTCTTTGATAGATCTGTAGGTGATGCTCAGCCAAATATTGTTTTTTATAATAAATCACAACTGGCAGCATGCACTTGTTTTTATTAAGAGTGGGGGTGTGAGTGAATATAAAGCCAGAAAAGTTCACTTTAGGTCAGAAGATCATGCATTACATCATTTCAGAACGTTTTTCCTAAATCATGTTTGTAATGTTCATCTCTTAAACCAGAAAGATCAGACTCCTTTTATGCAGCAGAAGTTATATAAACGCTGTTAAAGAAACTAAATTATCTCACTTGTGGGTTTTATGGCTTGTAATTCCAGGAGGGAATCTCTGGAATCAGATCCGTGACCCGAATAGGAAGCGGCTGTGGTTCTGCTGTTAAAACTCGCTCAAGCAGTCAAATAAAGCCCGAAATCCACCATTTTACTGCTGCGTGCGAACTTTTTCTGCAGAACCAAACACGGTCTATGCGCTGGAAATAAACCGAGTTTGCGCTGTTTGCGTCCGAAAGAGCGGAAAATCGAGTTGTCCCAAAGCGTAACCTTACCATTTAGTTTGGAAGCGGATCCAGGGTGGAACAGAACGGCGACAACGGTGCCAAGCAGCTTCATAAAATCCATTTCTACATGTTCCTCCGCTGTTCTGGACGGGTTCTGGTTAAATCACGTGTGAAGCCATGGGGCTCGGACCTTCTCAGGGCTGAGAGAACAGTAGATCTGTCACTGAGGTAAAAAAAAAAAAAAAAGTGGGTCGGATGTGGCAGCAGCAGAGGTTTTGCGGCTGTTTCAGGAAACTTCAGAAAATCCAACATTTTACATAGAAAGAGAGAAAAAAGTTTTTTTTCTGTTACACTAAACCAACATTAAAGTAGAACTGAGTGTGAAAGATTAAATCTCCTAAAATCCCATTTTTCCTTTTAGTAACTTTATTATGGACTGAATAGAACTCTTTGTCCGCGACTATCATGCGCACTGCATTAAAACAAACCAGCATCTGTCATCATCCTGATAGCTTCACAAGGTCACACGGAGCTGTCATGGAAAACAGGACAAAAACAGGGTAAACGGTTGATTTTAGGACCATAAATATGTCTGTTAAATATATTTATTGTTAGAAATAAACTGTCTGAACACAACAGAATAAATCTCTCTGAGCACATTTGAGCAGGACCCTAAGCAAAAGTTATTTTTTTAATTTTGGTCTCTCTCTCTCTCTCTCTCTCTCTCTCTCTCTCTCTCTCTCTCTCTCTCTCTCTCACTCACTCTCTCACTCTCTCTCTCTCCCAACACTAACGTAAAACAGCCACAGAGTTTTATTTTGGAAGATTTAACAGGAAGTGTTTCTACTAACTATTGTAACTTTAAAAACGTATGGTCCTCTACTCTTTGTTCTCCTCCTCCTGGTTTTAAGTAATAAAATATTCCTAAAAGTACAAAAAATATTATTTATTTTTTGCGTAATATACAAAATGAAATGTCCTCTAAATCGTTTAACACAACTAATGTGCAGTCACAGCTTGACCCCACTGGAGGGCGACAAATAATCTCTTAGTTCACGAGTTTCCTCCTCCTCTTCTAACCCTAATATTTATATATTAGCAAAAAGACAAAATCTTATATTGGGATTTTCAGCCTCAGTGAGATTAAGAGGTAGAAATGTTCTCTTCTAAATGGTTTCACGGACCAAGAGTTCAGGGCTGCAGTGATGCTTATCAGACCATGCGCCCTCTGGTGGCAGCAAGATGAATCCATGGTAGAGGGATTTTACTCTTTAATTAAATTAAGTTATTAATATAAAATCAATATAAAATATAAAATACAGTTATTTAGTAATAACAAAATTTAACCAGCACAGACATACAGTTCATAATCAAACATGTCAGATATAAAATGATTAGTTATTATTGAATACCAATAAGTACCCAACTGCATCCAATGAACACACTCAGATTTTGATAGACATTGATTTTTTGTTTTAAAAGGTTCATATTTTGCTTTAAACATGAAAGGCATGGCTCACATGACATGATTTTCACAATAAATGCATAAACTGCTAAAAAATTACAAATAAAAGTATGGTAAATGTCTAGTCACAACAGCTGATTAATGTGGATACATTTGTTTAATCAGATGGATGATACTTTTAAATTACATGTAAAATATTGTAAATATGTGGTTTAAAGGGAAAATTTAATAACTACATATCAAATAACAAAAGAAGGTAGAAGAAACACATTTCCAAATAATTCTTATTCACAAGCTTTACTAATTTTCCAATAGAAAATGTATATTTGTTAAAGCAGTCCAACCTAAATACAGACCATATTCAACCTTGACTGTAATATTAGCAAAATATATATTTTCTGTAAGAATTGGCCACCTGTATGTTATACGCTTATTAATTTGAAAGACAACGCGACTAACTGTTTTACAGTGAAAATACATTAGATCAATTTCTTTGGCCAGAAAATTCCACTTGCAACTTCAGACTGGCAGCCACTCTGTTGGGACTTAGAAAAACTGCGCTGACATACTTGGCGCTGCATTCTGCTTCCAGCACGTTTCCTGCATGTTTTAGATCATGAACACAGCTGGTTTGTTTAATTCAGGATTCATTCCTGTAGACACTAAGGAAGGCTGGGGAGACATTTCAGCTGTAAGATTAAAGTGTTAAAAAGACAAACGCATAACAAGGAGAAAGTTTTTGCTTTTGGTTCTACAAACGGTCACTAGGGGGTGCTAAAAGCGAGCCAAAACGACCTTGTTCCTCTAAAATTAAGATTTTAATTGCGCTTTTATCAAACTAATGAGAGTAGTTGCTAACTCCTTGGCTGCATGGTGGCGCAGTTGTTAGCACTGTTGCCTCGCAGCACGAAGGTCGCAGGTTTGAAACTCAGCTGCGGCCTTTCTGCGTGGAGTTGCGTGTTCTCCCCATGCATGCGTGGGTTTCCTCCGGGTACTCCGGTTTCCCCCACAGATCACAACATGCCCTATAGGTTATAAATTGTAAGTCGCTTTGGGTAAAAGCGTCTGCCAAATAAACATAAACATAAACACAAAACTCCAAAATGTATCAGAGTTTTATTTTGAAATAATTTACAGGGAAGTGATTCTGCTAAACATTTACTGTACCTTTATAAATGTTGTGTCCTCTTTTCCTTCTCCTCTCCATCCCTCTTTTCCTATTAAATAAAAATTCCAAAAGTACAAAAAGAACGATTAGGATTTTTTTTAGAGTAATTGAGCTACAGAGGCTAAAATGTTCCCTACCTGGTTTACCAGAGCCTCTGTGTAGTTTCTACTTGTTGCCAGTGGAGTGTGCCAATTCCCTTCCTTGTTTGTATAAAGTCAATAAAAACATTGAGTCTGTAGCACTTTGTATTGTGTTTGTCACATTGACTCCATCCTATAAAGAAGAAAATAAGCAATTTGGAGAAGAGGACAGTTTTTAGGGCCATTCTCCCCATTCATTGCTTTGGATAAATTTTTAGGCCCTATGTCTTCAATTCCACTTATAAAAGCCTAAAGTTGTAGATAATGTAGCAAAAATTACAAAGTAACTTTCATTAACAGTTGTTAGTATATTTGTCTTTTGTTTGAATGATGTTAAGTCATGTTTTGTGTTCTTCCCCATTTCAGCAACAGATTAGTGAAAATAAATAGGCTACAAATGTTTTACACCGAACAGGTTTTCTCATCAGGGACAGCACAGTTAAATATTTGTAAGTGCAACATTATGTAACTAAAAATGGAAATAGTTTTCTGATATTTAAACAGATTTTTTATCCCACAGAATTGATTAAATCAGTGGTGCAACAACTGTCTTCCCCCTCAATAAATGCAATATTTAAGGATTTATTTTCAAACAAGCAATTGTGTTTTAAAAATAACACTTTTAAAAGCTTTGTCTTGCAGGCAGAACAAACAGTAGTTCCTCTGCAGCTTCTGAAGTTTTGGCATAACTAGTCCAAGAACATAATTAATCCAAGTGATGCACAATGTTCAGTCCCAGAGGTGTCATTAGTCACACTGGTTAGCGTGTTTGCTAGATGTGTGCCCACACAGTACAGTTTCTTCTCCTGACAAGCTTCTCAGCGTATCTTCTTTCTTTCAGATCCTAATCGGCTCCTCCCTGTCAAGTGGTGAGAAAACAAAATCTCTCTCTCTCTCTCTCTCTCTCTCTCTCTCTCTCTCTCTCTCTCTCTCTCTCTCTCTCTCTCTCTCTCTCTCTCTCTCTCTCTCTCTCTCCTTCCCACAGGTTGAGAATACTGTCAACATTTTGACAAACAAAAATCCCGGGTGACTAAATTAGGATAAAATGAATGGATAAAGTCAAATTTAGCAGACTAAGCTAAAAGTGATGTGATTGTCATTCCCTTGAGTTTAAAGTGAAATCCAAATGTTTAGAATAACCTCTTTGGTGCCGAATGGATACTGTCCCTTCCAGATCTCAACTTTCAGCCAACCATCACCTGCTCTGCATCCCCAAAAACAAATGTAAATCCTGCTGGGAACAGACATTTGCCTTTGCTGCTCCAAAGCTCTGGAATGCACTTCCCCTCTATGCGTTTGGCCTCCTCACTTGGAAGTTTTAAATCTAGCCTCAGAACACATTTCTTTTGGTCAATATTTTCGAAACTGTTTTCCTTTATATTGCTTCCTAGTTTTATACAGTAATCTTGTACCATGGCTACATCCTGTTTTAGTGCTTTAATATGTTTCACTGTTATTTTAGGCACCTGTTTTAATAGTCTTTATACTTTAGAGGGGAACTAGGCAGATTTGGCTTGCTTTTAGCACCCCCCAGTGTCCATTTGTAGAACCAAAAGCAAAATCTATCTACTCAAAGTGCGTTCGTATTTTTAACACCTTAGTCTAACAGCTGAAATGTTTCCAGCCTTCCTTAGTGTCTCTACATGAAAGAGTAATCACGAAACGAGACAAATCAGCTGTGTTCACATTCAAAACCATGCAAGAAATGTACTGGAACCAGACTGCAGCGCCAGGTATGTCAGCCCAACTTTTCTCAAGCCCCAACAGAACAGACGCCAGTCAGATGTTGCAAATGGAATATTGCATGATCTAGCCAGTTCTCAGCAGCCTCCCGGTTCGGCCGACCAGGTGAGCAAAGCACTTGGTACCATCCTCTCTTTTGACGTCAAGGTCAAAGCCTCTCTGCAATGCTTGCGAGTGGTACCAGATGTTACAACACCTCAGATGTGGAACGTCTAACTAGCAGGCCCTGGTAGCATCTCATGGCCGGTGATATCTGAAATCAAAGGGAGCTGACTCTTTGATATTCCAGGAGCCACCAAGACATCCCCAATCTGTTGCCTTTTCTTCGGACCGCTCAAGAGCTGTCATCCAACATGGGTATCGTAGACCTGCACATGGGCGTGATGGTTTTATGAATAATCTACAGCTTGTCAAACCATACAATCAGAGTGATTTTACAACCCAGACATCACAAGATCTCTCAGATACTTAACAAGGTTTAGCTACAAAACATCTAGTTTACATTCCATCATTTCATTCATAATTTGTCATGTATAATAATTAGTTTAGAAATACAGAATTAAATCCATGTTTAAAAACTATATTCTGACTGTCTGAATTGATATGAAGTGTGTGTTTCCCTAAATAGTCATGAGAATCTAAGGTAATATTAAATCAAATATTCAAATGCAAATCAGAGTGATAATTTATATTAATATGGAATATCACATTGTATTGATAATTTAATGATATGTATCAACACCCACCATGCTACATAAGGAAGAGTCTGAACAAGTTAGTTCACAAAGCTAGCTTAGTTCTTATGTGTGAAAGGAAGGTGCTGGGGAACATGACCTCCATCTCAAAAAACCCTCTCACCCACTGTGGACACCATGGACAACTCCATCAGAGGCAGACTGAGACATCCCAGATGGAAAACAGAATGCTACCGTAGGTTATTAATCCCCTCTGCAGTAAGAGTGTTTAACTCCTCAGATTAACTGGTATTGGCATTATCATTCAAGGATTATGGAGGCCACTGCAATTTTAGGAGTCTTAAGTGCAGCAGAGATGTTTCTGTAACCTTAGCCAGATCTGTGCCTTGCCACGATTCTGTCTCTGAGCTCTTCAGGTAGTTCCTTTGGCCTCATGACTCATTTGCTCTGACCTGCACTGTGAGCTGTAAGGTCTTATATAGACAGGTGTGTGGCCTTCCTAATCAAGTCCAGTCAATATAATCAAACACAGCTGGACTCCAGTGAAGGTGTAAGACCATCTTAAGGATGATGAGAAACAACAGAAAGCACCTGAGTTAAATATATGAGTATCACAGCTAATTGTCTGAATTCTTAGGAGGACCATGTGTTGTTTCGCTTTTTCTTTTTGATAACTCTGCAGAAATTTCTAAAATTATGTGTTTTTTCATCCTAAACATCAATATGGAGTGCTGTGTGTGCGCTAATGAGAAAAAAAAAGAATTTAGTTGATTTTTGCAAACAGCTGCAATATAACAAAAAGTGGAAACTAGATGGGGGTCTAAATACTTTCTGAACCCACCGTAATTATCAAAAATTGTTTAATTGCATTTAAAATAAATGTAAACTGTCATGTGCAACAAAAATATTTTTCTCAAGCCTTTACATGAAATAATTTTTTAAAAATAACAATAAAATAATCACCTGGATAAATTGATGTCAATTCATGCCACCCCTGAACTGTTTAAGATGAATCAGTCAGTGTTTTTTTAAAAAAAAAAAAAAGCAGTAATCACCAAAGCTGAGATGAAATCTTTATGAGATGTGAGGTTCTGTGGCGATTCTGAACCAACTAGTCTCCGACTCTGATTAACAGCTTTGCTGCTGATTTCATGAAGTTGTTTCTCTCTTAATGACTCTGCTATCCAAATTGGTGGTTTAATGTTGTTTTGGGGGGTAAATGAAGACAAAAACTGAGTAATTGTTGGTTTTCTGCTAAAATACATTTCTAATAAAGCATGCAGGGCCACTGAGTGGTCATTTCTCTAACTTCAACACTTTTAGACGTAAAGGTTTCTGGGTTTCAAAACTTTTACTGTTAAATACGACTCATCTCCATCCAGTTTTTAAATGATTCTGCTATCCTCAAATATTTTAAACAGTGAGTCTATTTTCATGGATGCTATTTTTAGTATCAACATCAATAATCAACACGTTGCACAGTGATCAAGCACTGTTCCCAACAAGCGTCTACCTGGAGGTAAAATCAGGTGTGGCTGAGGAAACTCCAAGAGAGTGACGCATTTTTGGATAAAGTGACAAATGTCTCCTCTCACTTGGCACGGCCCCTTTGGCACAATCATTATTCTAAATGTCTGATGAACAATAGAGGTTCACAGTTGAGCTGTAACCCTTGTGGCCTGCAGGAAGTTAGAATACCTGCTCTGCAGCTCTGTGAACACAACATGAGAAAAGTTTGACAAGCAGGTAAAGGAAACAAAGGTTGGGTGAGCTTGCTTGTGGTTACTGTGATCACTTTACGTGGTTTACTCTCCAGACACGAATCACTGTTTTAATATGAAGAAACCACAAAAATACTTTTACTGTTGTTTGGAGATTTGCAGAACTTTTATTTAGCATTTTGCAATTAAAGTTATTTCATGGAGAACTAAACTATTTGAAACATGTTTCTGCAATGGCCTATTTAGTATGTTGGACATTTTTGTTTCCATGCACAAAATGTTTTCGCTCATGCACACTGTCTCATGTGCTTCCACCCAGCCAGTTAATACAGCTAAAGAGTACATCTGTAACACTGTGCTCATACAAAGCCTTTTCAATAGAAAGAAGCCATCATCTAAGAATGATGGTTTAGTGTTTAGGTCTGGGTGCAAGCATTAAGCACATACAAGTACATTTGTGTGAGTGTGTGCATTCTGTGTGTGTGTGTGTGTGTGTGTGTGTGTGTGTGTGCGTGTGTACTAGTACACACTTATTCTAAGGGAGGGCTCATGATTCACACTGCCATGGTTTTAGGTGTCCTACCCACTATAAAAGTCATATTACTCACCCAACTGTGTGACAAACACCAACTCAGATACCAGCGAGGTAAGACCCTCCTTATCGGGATTCTCAGTTTAATTTAAGTAAGAAAATGTTAATAAGCTACATGATGAGTTCAATTTCATTCAGGAAAAGCAAACAGAACTCTGAAAAGACTAGAGCTGCATCTCATTGACTTTTCTGTATTAGATAAAAGAAAAAGTAAAAATCTAAACGTTTTTGATAATGCGTTTGATTGAACTTAAGAGTTGAAGTTCTGCCTTCTTCTTATCGACAGGGATAACTGAAGTGAGGGAGCCTTCATCTGAAAGAATGTCTCTCTCTCTTTGTCTCCCCCTGTTGGCGGTGCTCCTGCAGCCCGCTCTTTGTCTTTACAACTGCTCCTCTGTGTACAACAGGAACCCAGGTTGGTTAACTGAGAATTGTTTGGAGTCAAACGCAGACTTTTTATCCAATTCCAAGAAATAATTTTGCAACTTTATCATTTAGATAAAAATATTTTGCCATTTTTTAGACAATTCTGATATGACAGTAGGCTGTGGCACCACTATAATAACCGTAGACGTCAACGCGTGCACGGCTCAGTGGGCAGGCTTCAACGCCTCAGAACTGGTGCTCGGCGGGAACCACGACCACACGGACTGCCTGGGTTCTATCGACACCAGTTTGGACCCTCCAGTCGTCCGTTTCCACCTTCCTGTTAACAGCAGTCAAGATAATCCCTGTCACCAGTCTCTGCAGGTCAGAAACGACTGTATATCTGGGGAGATCAAACAGCACGTATTTGAAGAATTAATAATGTGAAACTTTCTGTGTCCGTTGCTGCTCAGATTGTGGACGAAGCCCCGGATCCCACGGGTCCCTTCAGTAATTTTCTAAGTATCCAGTCAGTTGTAATCACAGGGTACATTCAAACGCTCCAATCAGACGTAGGGATCATCAGCTACTCCACAGACCTCTACTACCAGTTCTCCTGCCGCTACCCCCTGGAATATCTCCTCAACAACACAAGGATTGCTGCGTGAGTAGTTGTTCTTTACAAAACTCTACTGAGCATCATGTTAATTTTATTAACTCCATTTTTTTCCTGTAACTTTTCAGCTCCTCCATCTCAGTGGCGACCACCACTAATAATGGAACCTTCATTAACGCGCTAAGAATGAGCATTTTTAACGTAGGAACAAACTAAATCTGGTTAAATCTGAACAAAAATCTAAACCAAGCCTTTACATGTGTTTTGTTTTGTTTTCTAGGACTCTGACTATAAGTATCCATTAGTCATGCCTTCGAAAGGAATCGAGCTGCGGACGAAGGTCTATGTGGCGGTGAAGACTGTTAATCTGACAGGAAAGTGAGTAAATCTCATTACTTTTATCTTCATTTAAAACCTCAGCCAGCACACACTGGTAGGCCCCATGAAGAATATACCTGTATATGAATATACCTGTATATGGGCAAGCCCATGGTGGCCCAACAGGAGTTTGCCAACAAAGATTTGAATTGTGGGCAAAAATCTTCCTGGGCTAACCCCAATGGGGCCTCCATGGAAACTGTGGACAAACCCTTCTGGGACCCATACAGCTTGCCCATACTTGTTCCACATGGAGCCCACCTACGTGTGCTGGCTGGGAACAGACGTGATAACAGGTTTACATTTACTCTACACACCTGTTTCCAGTTTCTACGTGCTGCTGGATCGCTGCTTTGCAACTCCCTCTCCTTATAACAGTTCCCAGACTGTAGCGTACACTTTCTTCACTGGGTAAGGCACTCCTCATCAGTTGTGCAACCTTATTGTAACATTTATTTAATGTTGGAAAGTCCATCCGTATATATTTTGGCTCTCCGCCGCAGATGCACAGTAGACACAAAGACAGCTGTGACACTGAACGGCCTTTCCGCCACCGCTGAGTTCAACTTTGAAGCCTTCCGCTTCGTTCAAGACAGAGCCCAGGAGATATCCACCATCTACCTGCACTGCATGCTGAGACTCTGTGAGCCCAGCTCGTGCCAACAGCTGACGTCTGTAAGCTAATGAGTTAAAAGGAAATCACACTCTTTAAAGATCCTTACTGCTTTTTGACATTGTTGTGATTTACAAACTCCAACTGCATGTTTTTCAGGTTTGTAAAAACAAAAGAAAAAGGTCTTTGACTCCTTTTGGAGAACAAAGCAGTGACACGGCCACGATCTCAGTCGGACCTCTTTACACTGCCGCAGAAGGTTGGTTTTTTGTTAATTTTATTATCACGCATATTTATTCACTAAGCATGATGAGTAATACCTTATCCTTTTGTTTCATTAAAGCCACATCTGTCACAAGTGTACACAGTGAGTTTTTATTTATTCATTTATGTTTAATCTCTTTAAAATCTCCAAATGCACGTTGACATCCTGAAGGATCAGACTTATTTTTCACTAATTTCTGCTTTTTTTAATTTTTATTTAGGCAGTAACTTGGCATCAAGCACGGATAAATTTACCATCACAGGCCTGCTGGTCGGGGTGGTGTCTGCAAGGCTGGTGATTGGTTTTCCCTGAAGAAAAGTATTACTGGGGGAGATGATCACTTGACTGAATGGTTAATGCTGCTTTTGCAAATTTTCTCTAAATATCAAAGAACATTTTCTCAGCAATAACTCCCCACAATCAATCAATGGAGTAATATTCAATCAACGGGATCTTATTTTTTTCTATATTGCTGCTTTTTGGGGTTCTGTAATGAAGAAAGACGGTGAGACTGAAATGTAATAGCATAAAGTAATCTGTTACTTGTATTTTCTGCAATTTTGTACACAGATGTTTGTTTTTTACACTGGGCAAAATCAAACATGGAGTGTCTTTTCTCTAATACATATATTACCAACAGTTGGTTTTCACACTCTAAACTGGCCCAAAAATATACAAAAGTTAAAATTAAATACATTTCTACTGTTTTTGCATTCATATGAACACCTTTTACTTCCAAAGTAACTCTTTTTACATTGGTTTCTCACTAATTCACACAAAATATGGAAAATAATAAATCCTCTCAACTCATTCATCCAGAAATATTTACAACCAGGGTGTTTCACTATGGAACAAACAAGCTAGGAGATATGTTCAGTGGTTAAAGTAAGAGGGAAGTGCATGTTTAGATCACTGCACAGAGTGCATAATGTCCTGAATCAGAGCAGAAAGTCTAATTGAGAAGTCCTCCTGCAAAGAGCCAGCTTGTGTGGACATAGATGGAGGCTGATATTGAGGGGAGGCCCCCAGGACTTCCTCTTCCACCCCGATAAACAGCCTCTCCATCCGGGCCTGGAGCACTTGGCTCTGCAGCGCTGCGTTTTGGCAGAACTGTTCCACGCTGCCTGCCACTTCAGCCTTGAGGGGCTGAGTGGATTCTAGCAGAGCTGCAAACTGTGCTTTCAGAGCCCCCACCCGGGCCTGCGCCTCCTCTTTCAGTGAACTCACTTCTTGTCCCAACTTGGTGCTCACTGCCTGCCAGATCTTTGAGTTATTTTCCTCCTCATCCTCATCCTCAAAGGTTCCAGCCCGTTTCAGGTTTTTGGCTTTGTTTATGGCCATGGTGTGAAAGTCAGCGATGATGTTGGCCGTCTGGAGGCTGCTGTGGTCCAGAGTTTGACGAATCCAGTGAAAAGCTTCTTGATAGAGAGCTGAACCTGCCTCTGTCTGACCCTCGGCTGCCTCCAGGCTCTGCAGGAAGACACTCAGCTGGCTGCACAGATCCTGAGTGTTGCTGCTGAGGGAAGTCTGGAGCTGCTGTGTGAGGGGTGTCAGGCGCTCCTTCATACTGGCCAATGTGGCGCTGAGATTGGCCGGAGATGGGGACAGCCTCTCCCACAGTTCAGCCAGCTCCTGGCTCAGACGCACACGCAGGCGCTCTGACTCCATGAAGAGTTTGCGTTGCATCTCTGCTGCCACAGGATTCTTGGTGTCATCGTCTTGTTGGTGGTAAAGACCACTGCTGTCAATGGCGCTCTTGTAAATCCTACTGTAGGAAGACACATGCAAAACTATTAGACTACAAAGATGTTCTATACGTGTTCATTTAAAATTTCAGATTTAATATTTGCAGTTTGGTCGACTTACTGCACATCTTTTGAGAGGTCTTTCTTTTCGTGAATCTGGTTATAATCTGAGCCAACCCAAGCTGCCTCCTGCAGAGGATATGCTACAGGAAAAACAAGAATATATAAGAAAACGATGCAGGACTATTGTCTGTAAAATTACAGTTTTAGGAGAAATACCTAAAGTTTGTGAGAGAGACATGATGAAGATCACAACTTTTAGATTCATTTTGATCTCTGTGGAAAGACAAATGAGGAAAAAAAAGTTCAGAATTTCACACAAAAACACAAAAACCCAGGAATCAAATCTGAAAACTTGCTAAAAAAATCCTGCTTTCTCTTACACAGAAGTAGTGGAAAAAGCCAGCGGGTGAAGGAGCAGATTTCTGTCAAAAGTCTGAGGGTCTGTGGAGTCACTTCTCATCTCGTCTGACTTATAAAGATCCTCCTTATCAGAGAGGCTGCCCAACCTCTGCCTGCGTCAATAATCAACACGTGGAAGGTCACGCTGATGATTTCTATCGCCGCACAACACATACTGGAAAAAAAGTTGATTTATGGCAACATATTTCACCAGATAATCATGGTAAACTTAATTTTGAAGACTGATCAGGGGATTATTTTAAGGAGGTACATCAATGCTGCTCAGTTATAAACAGAAAATAAACATTATATATAGGCTCCAGAAAAGGCAAGCATAGATACCATGCTTTTATCATCGCAACGCCTCATAAGAGTGTTCAATAAGATAAATCAGTCATTTAGATTTTTTATTGCAAGTAACATATATAAAAGGGACTTAAATTTCTAACTGTGCCCCTAAAAAGTTTAAGTTTCTGGTTTGCAGGAACGTGCTTTGGAAAAGAAGGTCATCTCTTTCATCATTAAATATAATTTTAAAGTAGTTTTACAGTAAAAATTATTTTGTGATCGATTTTCATTTTTTTTCAGAAAAAAAATATCTGGGTAAAAGTTGAGAGCAGTTCAATCAGACAAGCTGCGTGTTTAAAGATGTGTTTATTTGCATTTGTGAAATGCAAATTTTGCCACAAACAAGATGAATATTTGGGTTAAAGTTGAGCATGGTTTCATTAGATAAGCCACAAGTCGTCACTGCTGGGGGTCAAAGTCCATGGCTGCCATGATGAAACAGCCTTTGTGGGGGTATTCAAGGTATCCAAAGTCTAGCGTTTACTTCACTACAACAACAGAGCAGAGCGGGACCTTGACTAGTGGACATGAAAACAAAATTATTTACTTTCTTTAGTTTATTGACGTAGTCTGCGTGCTCACAAAAGGGCTTTTATTTTACATATTATTTTTATTATTATTATTGAGTGTTGAGTGCAAACACCACCGTTCGTGTTTCATTGAAACATATATCTACTTGAGCAATTCTTTTCCTGCAGAAATGACTCGTCAGCTCGAGTCACTTTGCATCAATATAATGGAGCTTTTTCATTTTACTATAGAGCAAAGGTCAACCCTCCGGCATTGATTTTTGCTCAGGCATGAAGCATCAAAGGAAGCAATCAATGGTTTGTAAAGATTTTAAAAAGCTAACAGTGTCTGTGGCAGATAAATTACAGTTTAATTTAAAGAAATACATTTGTGAACCTATTAAAAAAATCTAAATCTCAGTTTTAGCCACGCCGACTTCGACCTTTTTATTTTTTCTGTTTCCCCTCTGCAGGTCGACACTATCAGGTACATAATGAAAAAAACAAAGCAAACATTTGTTTGTCCAACTAGACTTGGGTGCCCCCGAGTCTCCGGTCAGCTAGAATAAAAGCTAATAAACCAGGTTAATGTCAGAATGGCTGATTTGGTGAAGCTACAGCAGCTTACACAATGCCTCCATGCAGGATCAGGACAAACACCGAGCTTTGCTTGCGAAGTTCAAAATACAATAAGGTGCTTCTCTTTAAAGCAGTGAAGCTCGCTGCGAGTCGATCCATTCATCAGTATCATGATGGGATTGAGAAAAACAGAGTAAGGTGATCTGCAGCGCCAGGCGAGCGTTTTCTTTTTCCTCCTGCTGAGCGCTCACACCACTGTCACTGTCACCTAACCTTACAGGCCGCATTAATAATTCAGCAACCTGCTGAAAGTCAAGCAGACGTTAGCAGATGAAGGATGCTTGCAGAACATGAAAAGCTTTTTCTTGATGGATCACAGATGAAACGTCACGTCTTTTTATGAGCCTTTTTCTTTAGGATGTGAGAACATCAGAACTTCTGCAGACATGGGGTTTTGGTGTCTGTGGTGGATTTTTAGTTCAGGTGTGGCTCCTGAAAGGGACAACAGTCAGTTTAATAATGAGCGGCTGCACTGCCGGCAAGGTAAGCTTTCCTGAATGCAGCTTCATTTTTAAAACCACAACTGCAACAGCAAAAACAAGAAAAATTACAAAAATATATTTTTGTTTGTAGGTTTCTATTGTCCTCCTGAAAGTTTTAGCCCCGTTCCCTGTCCCAAGGGGACATACGGACCAGATGTTGGAGCTGTGTCTGTAGAAAGCTGTTTGAAGTGTCCTTCTCACTACTACTGTCCTCGACCAGGAATGTTTTCCCCTCTGACTTGTGGTCCGCTGGCTCAGCAGCCCCTGTCTGGACAGCACTCCTGCACCTGTCCAGGGGAGGGACAACATTTTCAGGTGCTGTTCTTGACAAAGGCGACAGAAAGATCATTTCTACAAGCAATTTCAGTTTAAATGTGTTTTTGTGAAATCATATGTGAAAGGTGTGTGATGTTTTTACATTAGTGTGTGTTTCTGCTTGCAATATATATCACGAACCACTAGACAGATGTTAGTAAAACTCTTAAAATATTTATTTTCAGGATTTGACCCATTAAGACATAACTCCTTTTCTTCAGATTGGGTCTGTGATCCGTCCATAAAATCCTAGAGTGTTGTTCAAGCAGTGATGTAGAGTCTCTCTGAGATGTCGGACTAAAGAATCTGCAGCTTCTAGCTGAAAGAGCTCCAGATCGAGTTACCATTGATGAGGATCTGGTTTCCCAGGCTGCTACCTTTGCATTGCTCTCCTCTGATCATCTCACAATAAAGGGAATGAGATTTTTGTCCCTGAGTTTGCATGAGAATGACGAAGCATAAAGTTAAAAATGCAGTATCATTAAATCAATGAGAGAGCACTTTGGCACATTAAGCAACAACATGACTCCAGATTGAGGTGTATACTTTATCTTTTGTCTTTCTATAGAGCAGTGATGGGCGCTGCATCTGCAGCACCGGCTATCAACCCACCAGCAATGAAGAAGTGTGTGTGGAACAGCTGTACAGCGTCTGCAGAGATGGGAGATCACGCACACAGTATGGAGACTGCTTCGACAAGCAACAGTGGTCGTCTCACTGCAGACGTGAGGTTGTACTTGTGATATAGGCCCCCTATCACACTCAGATACAGTCACAAGAAGTAGGGCAAAGGGAATTGTCTAGATTTCATAAAACATCACCAAACAGGAAACTCATCCTGAAGATACGAGACCACCGAGGCCTGTTTGCTGAACACACTGAGCAAACACACTCCACGATCCTGGAGGGTAATGAGTACAACCCAGATGTCTTTGCCCTTTATTCTGTGAACCCGACGGTGCTTTATCTGCACTAATAAGGTCCTCTTAATGTTTAACCAGGAAGTTCTTCCTGTGACTTTTGATCCGTAATGCTTTAATCAGATGAATTAATTTAATTTGCATTGGTTATGTTTCCTCAGGTGTGCCAAACTGCAGAGGACTACCGTGGTTATGACAGGGAGTTGGGTCTGTGTGTGTGCAGAGACGCACCTGGAAGAGCCATGTGTGGAGGCCTTTGTAGGAGAAAAATGGAGAGTGACCTGAAGCTCCAGTGTGGCTTGGATGGAGACCTGGAACTGGTGTGGAGCTACGAAAGTCAGGTGAATAAGATGCACAATAAAGAAATGACTGATTGTTTCAGGTTAAGAAGGTAATCGTTGACATCAAGTGTGACATTGTGACTCGATCAGACAAAGTGCACATCCACCCAGTGTCTTAATTTGACACCGACCTATTAAAGCCAAACTCTTATTGTGTGCCTGCAGGTGTCAGACCTCTCAGGCGGCGTGCTGGAAACTGTCTTTAAAAAGTGGGACTCCCAGGGGAATCTGCAGTGCAACAGCCAAAACAAATCCTCACGTCCTGTCTATATTGTTCAAACAACAGGTGGGGACGCACTTTCGCACAATCACAGACACAAACACAATGGGGCTTTTCTGTCCAGCTCCTTGCCTCTTTGTGGCTTCCTGTCACCCTTTCACTATGTGGCTGCAGAAGCAGGATTCTTCGGCCTCCTCGGTGGCATCCCAAAGGAAATCCACCAGCTGTTTCCTGACAGCACGCACAGTTCGGCAGGTTTGTTGCAGCCATTTATTCTCCAGACTGAATTTACGATTTATGCATTAAAAAGATGAGCTTATTGAAGGTGCGGAACGCTGAAAAAACATTTTAAAATGATTAAGTCTGATTACAATCGGTCACTCTGAGTTTTTCATGCAGACTGAACATGTAAATAGTCTCCTACACCTATCTCCTGCATTAGGTTCTGATAGATAATTGCCAGTGAAACTCAAGCATTTGAAAATTCTGACAGATCTACATCACACTGTCACTTAACATTCATGGACTCACCCATCTTGACTCGTGATGGGGAAGGCTGTTGTTTTAGCATCCAGGAATCAACAGACAACGTCCTGGTAGTAGGAGGTCCTAGCTAACCGTTACATTAGCAACTCCACTACACAGAAGAAAACTTCTCCATGCTTGTGTTATTTTTGGTGATTAAATATCAACGTTGCAAGTCAGTGATAGAATCACGTTGCTGTTATCCAATCCGAGGCGAGATTTCCAAAACTCAGGAAATAAGACTCCAAATCCCACCGTGTTCAGCCACCCTCTGCTGCAGCAGACTTGTCCATGCTGATCCAAGCAATTTTTTGCCCCGAGTATGGCTTGCAAGGCATTCATTCCTATCAGAGACCACTGCAAATGTATTGATTAAATGAGTTTCCCACACCTTTATATCAACCTGACTGCTATAAGGAAGTTTTATTGTCTGTTTCTAGACAAAGAAAACAGATTTTTGCACGAGGTCGAGAGGGAGGAAGATAACATTCCTGCAGATGGAGAGGTTCATTTAAGAGAGAGTGATGTCACTGAAGAAAACAAGATGTTATATATAAATGGAGTTTTGAACCCAACAACATGTCTCCATCTGGGTGATATTTTACTGTTCATCGTCAACACGCTTCACTACCCGTTCTATGATGTGTAAGTCAGATCTTTTACTCTTCTATAAATCACTTTAATTGGCTTTTTAATCACTTGTTGGCACTGTCTTTGTGTTTCAGTGATAACCTGTACAACACAAACAGTCACTTTGACTGGGGTGCGTTCAGACTCCTTAAGGAAGAGCTGACTCTTTCCTGGACTCCTCCAGCCATCTTCACAGTTGTCTTTAGCCAACCTGGAGTTTATGTTTTTACTCTCAGCAGCAATCAGCACAAACACATGGTAATCATTATATTTCATTTTTAAATTGTTTGCCCAGAAGGGCTGCACAGTGGCAAAGCCTTGCAGCAAGAAGGTCCTGGGTTCAAAACCAAACCTGGGCTTTCTCTGCAAGGAGTTTGCATGTTCTCCCTGTGCATGCATGGGTTCTCTCTGGGTACTCCAGCTTCCTCCTCCTGTCCAAGCTGTCAGGTTGATTGGTCTCTGAATTGTTTCTAGGCGTGTGTGTATGCATGGTTGTTGGCCCTGTGTGTTTATGTGTTGCCCTGCGATGGACTGGCAACATGTTCTAGGTCAGGGGTGTCAAACTCATTTTAGCTCAGAGGCCACATTGAGGGAAATCTAGTCCCAAGTGGGCCGGACCGGTAAATTAAAAACAACTGTTTTCTTTGTTTTAATACAATCAATATAAAACAAAGCTGGAGCCTGAGGACAGTGTATCCAAAATAGTACAAGTACAACACCTGAAGTGTACTTGAAAATTTGAAAAATAAATAAAAATCAATGAATCAAAGAAACATTCTTTAGTGATTCAAAGAGCTTACAGATCTCATGGCTAGATCAGTTTCATGCAGCACTTAAAGTATATTTGACTCATTTTACTTAACATCTTTTAGCTTTCACCAGCACATCAATATCAGAAGTCACATCCTGAGTGGCGGCCAACTTCAGGATGTGATTCAAGTTCTTGTGTGAGTCTTGAGCGCAGCTTTGTTTTATTTATACTCATTACAGAGGAAACCTGCTCACGATAAGTTTATTTTCACTCTACATTGTAAAGTATGAAAATAAAGTTTACACAACCATCTCACGGGCCGGACTTAACCCGTTTGCCGGCCGGACCTGGCCCGCGGGCCGTATATTTGACACCCCTGTTCTAGGTGCACCCCACCAGCTTACCTGGAGATTACAGGTGATAGGCCCCAGCCCCCCGCGACACTGCATGGACAAGTGGGTATAGACAATGCATGGACAGTTTGATCAAAAATGGATTATAAAAGTTATAAATTTGTAAACGGTGAGGAACAAAAGGAAAAACAACAGTTTTCAGTATTTTTTTAGCTGTTTCGGATTGATTTTACTTGTTGTTTACTGAATTTCATCCACACCTTTAGTTGTAGCAGTTAGTCAAATAGTAAACATCATCATAAAATATGATCAGTTTTCCTCATATTTAAATTTGTGAATTCTTCATCAAGTCAAAAGAAAAAGTACTTTTCATCTTTCTTGAAAATCAGGGTCATTTTTGCTGTGTCTGCCTTAAAAGTCAACAAGAAAATCAACAGAAAAATTGACTTTTGTAACACTTTTTTGCCACTTCCCTAAGAATGTTTCTTCTGTCTCTCTATAAAAAAAGTTACAGTCATTGAAAAACAGAAAATCTAATCTGGATTATTCTCCTCCCGGGTACCGTCCTCCTTTCATAAACAGCACGTTGGTCAGCTGCCATGCAGTTTTTAAATGTGCTATATAAATAACTATGGTATATTTTGGCATAGTATGGTCTGGCTTTCTCACTAGTAAACTCTCCATTGAATGATGCAATTCTGCCATTTTTAAATATATCGCTATGAATAATCCTTGACTTAGATCTGACATTAACAGTTTGAAGAATTCCCTGATTGTTAGATTTGCTGTTCTCTCTCCCTTCCTGCATGTCTCTCAGTATGTGCGAGTGATGCCTGCAGGAGGCCAGTGCTACGAGCCGGGCCCTTTTTTCCCTACACTCCCTCGTCATGTGACCAGGATGGGGATCAGACGAAGACGTGACCTGTTGCTTCGGCCGGACTGGCTGGTGGCTGGAGGGCTGCTGTTCGGAGCTGTGATTGTTCTCTGTCTATGTGTAGCAGTGCTGGTTAGTTTTCAACACGCGGTGCCTCCAGATGTCACCACAAAAGGATAATTTACAAAAACACCCCGTCTATTCCTTCTGCAGATCATGTTCCGTGAGTATGGATGGCCACAGAAGGAAACAATCAGAGCGAGGTATCGCTCTTTGCAGTTATCCTACCAAATGGATGATTACTCATCAAAAGGTTCAAGGGTTATCTCGCTTAGGAAGACTCACCGGAAGCAACAAGCTGGAGTGACACAAGACTCCATGCAGCCAGGTGGAACATTAAATCATGAGTGTGAACTCGCATAAACACTTCATTCATCAAAAGCATAGGAGCCAACATATTGCAGAAGTTGCATTCACATGAGATTTCCACAATGTAGACACAAGAACATGGACACCACATCATGTAGGATCACAGTGCGACGATCCCCATGGTGTCTTACGCAACTCTGACAATGACCTTAGGGCGGTGCTCCCACGTGACCAATTACTGTTAAAAAAAAGCTGACGTCAAAGCTGATAGCACGTGGTGAAAGTAGAAAGGAAAACAATCCAAGTGTCACGTCAAAGGGCAGCATCCTGTGTTTGGTACGTGCCTGAGGATGAACACACACAAACTGACGTAAACCTGTAGAAGCCAAGCTGTTTGATTTCCCAACACATTCACTTGACCAAATCCAGATTTTAAATGCAGTTTTAGAATTTTTTGTGTGTTTTACTCTCTTAACAGTTGCCTGCGCGGATGCCTCGGATGAGTTTTGGGATTATGAACACCAGGTGGATCTGGAGGCGTTCAGCAGCAACACCTTCTACAGCCTGCTGCTTAAGCAAAGCCTGTCTGTCACAACGCGACTGGGGCAGCTCACAACTGAGGTCCATAACTATTAGAGTTAAAGTGAACGTGCGGCATGTGGCAGAACTCACTCTGGTTTTCTCGTCTCTTTCATAAATTTTAAAGTGTATCATTTTCTCTGAGGTAAAATCTTTCAATAGCTTAAAATTTTTGTAGGAATTGTCAGATACGAGCAAAGTTAGATGATGTCCCAAAATAAATAACAAGCTGATAGTGGAATGATGTTAGAAAATGAAACAAATACAAGAGTACACTGGTTTAACGCATATTCTGATTACAGATCAGTGCAAACAGACTACAGATAAGGAACTTTCAGGATGAACGATTCACTTTTGAACCTTATTTTGTAGTTCTACACCAGAATCTAAAGCGTGTCTGAGCATTGCTTAGTTTATGTGGAAAAGTTGCTTTCTCAGAAATGTCTTCTATGCGATGCTGTGGCGGTGCTAATCTTCTGTTTTGACCCAAATCAGTCCAACCACAGGGAGACCCTGGCTCTCGGATTCCAGGATTACCTTTTAGTCATTTTGTCAACATTTCTGAGAACAGCAAACTAGATAAAAGGTTGAATGTTTCTTTAGTTCACAAGAGACTCTATTTGAAACTGTGATAGCGTGCTCATTGATCACCTAGTGTTAGTTAAAGTGCCTGAGGCTGATTGCTACAAGGATGAAGATCAAACGTTATGTTCAACAGTCAAGTTTAAGCATGTTCATGTCTTGTTTTTGAATCTTGGAAAATAACAACAGACAGCAACAAAAGGTAGAGCTGTTAAACATTCAACCAGTTGGAAAGTCAAAATGATATTCAAGGATATAGAAAGGAGCCTCCTCAGCATTACATTCATGCAGCGCTGCAGCTCGATAAAAAGTGGAAATTTAATGCATGCACATATTCAATTCAAATTCAATTCAAGTTTATTTATATAGCGCCAAATCACGACAAGAGTCATCTCCAGGCACTTCCCCCCAGTAAACATTCCGATACAGGTCAGTTCATTAAGCCAATCAGTAAAATGTTTCCTATATAAGGAACCCAGCAGGTTGCATCATACTAAGCAAGCATTTAGCGACAGTGGAGAGAAAAACTCCCTTTTAACAGGAAGAAACCTCCAGAAGATCCTGGCTCAGTATAAGCAGCCATCCACCATGACTCACTGGGGATCGAGAAGACAGAGCAGATACACACACACACACACACACACACACACACACACACACACACACACACACACACACACACACACACACGCACACGCACGCACGCACGCACGCACACACGCACACACACACACACACACGCACTCGCATACACATACATACACATACATACACACACACACACACACACACACACTCGCATACACATACACACACATACACACTCACATGCATGCATGCACGCACGCACGCACACACACACACACACACACTCGCATACACATACACACACACACACACACACACACACACACACACACACACACACACACACACACACACACACACACACACACACACACACACATACACAACATATATACCAAGTTGTATTACTATGGCTACATTGTGATTTCTTACTAAATTTTCTATTTAGTAAGAAATAAACTGTACTGTATTTATGTTAGTGAATCTATAATTAATTCAACAGGTAAACTAGTAGTAGCACATTCAGTGTCAAATATTGTAAAAGGTTATTATCAGGAAATTAAGACTAGAATATTTTTTTTCCCGCGTTGTATTCAAATTTTACGTTGTCCCACACTGAGTAGTTTCTGTCCTACATTTACCGAGTTAGGATATGGTCACCCTAATAGTAGTAGAATGCAAGGTAACACATCATTCTGAATCCCATTCAGCCATTCAGGGTGATGATTTGCTCTAGCTGGTCGAGAAAGCTAAATTCCAAACTATACATACAGCTTTTATTTGTTTAATCAGCATTAAAACTAATGTTAAATAGATTATCAAGCATCTCAAATACTGGATTCACAGGAAGTCAGAAGAGAAAAAGAAATAAATAATTGTACCCAATCTGAGTTATATTTGCTGTCTGCATGGTTTCATGCGTACCCAACAGAACCTGTTGTCTCGTCAAATATTTCTTAATGTTCTTGCATCTTTTTTTCAGCACCTTCTGACCCTTTTTTCATTCACTTCTCACTGATATTATTCAACCCCATTCAAGCAGATTGAGTATCACAAGTGAGCCTCTTTGTCCTCTTCCGTGCAGTTATCTCCATCCTGTGTTCTTCCTGTTCTTACCATAAAGACCATTGGCTGCTGGGTTGTGAACACAGATTTATGTTACAAGCCCGAGGACAAACAGAGCGATAAAGATATAAAAGAGACACCATCCCACAAATGCGATGAGTGTCAGCTCAATGCATGCCCGTTTCATTACACAGGGATCAGATTACTGCAGTGATATGATGATTTTGTTTCTAATATATGTTTGTGCATGTAGGTGAAGGAACTTTATCAGGGAGTCCTCGGGAAACTGCAACTGCTCCACCCAAGCATGATTGCTGAAGAGAGGGTGGGGGACGGCTATGAGAGGATGAGGAGGGAGATGGAGAAAGAAGTGGTGAGACGGAAATCTTTAGCTTCACAGCTGCGGATTCTGCTGGACAGCCAGTTGCAGGTATACTGTGCAGTTCTTCACAACTACAGAAATATGCTTCATTAAGTAAAAACCTGCCATCATATCCAAAGAAATATGAGCATGTAATCATGCATGATAGTAATCAGTGGTGTGGTGGGTCTGATCAAGTTAATTGATAAAGTGTGATGCTTCAGGTTCTGAGGCGGGAGCACCAGGCCAAGCAGAGGGTCTACTGTGTGTTCACATCTCATCTCAGAGAGTGCACACGGCTACTATCCAAGATAAATAACCACAGCCAGCCTTTCTGTGAGCTGCAACAGCAAATGTAATCATTTTCATGCACTGAAGCAATTTGTTTCATCAGATCTTCAGTCCTTTATGTCTTTATTTCAGCATCATGCAGAAGCTCACAGCTTTGACGGATGAAATGGGAGAACTGTTGTCTGCGGAGTGCCACCGTCAGGGAGCATGGGGGCTGTTGGGAGAGGGTACGGGGGCCAAGCTGCTCTGTCCTGACTCTAGGACAGTTCTGAACAAAGAGGACATATTTAGTGAGTTTACCTCCTTATTGAAATACACTCAAAAACATTTTATGTAGAAAAATAACACACTTATAAAAACGCTGCCACCTACTGTTACAGTTGTGTGCTGGAACACAAAGTCAGATGTGTGATGAAGTTACTAAAAGTGGTGGTATATACTGTATATTAGACAAACAATATAAATTAGTAAACTTTTCCAGGTCCTGATGGGTCTCTGCGGATCTCCGGCGCCGTTGACTCTGATGCAGTCACAGGCCTCATTAGGCCAAACGCTCACAGCCACATGCTGCTGAACAGCGGCCACACCATGGCCGTGCCGCCTGATTTCTTCCTTCACCCACAGACTGGTAGAGTTCTGCCCATCGTTGGCAACGTGGCCTACGATCCAGTCAGCGCTACATTAGTGATCATTACTGACCTCTGCACAGGTAACAGTATTCTTTCAGTTGTTTTCTTTTTCATTCATTCCAACCCAGCAGAAAATCTCCTTCATGAAGCAAAAAAATTGGCAGACAGAACAAAGGGTTTATGTTTGTGGGCCAGAGTCAGAGCCGAGGTCAGGTGGCAGAAAATCAAGTGAACAAACTAAAAGAGCAATTTTGCTACAAAAGCAAAAAAGAGAAGAATTTTAAAAGATCTGGGGGTGAAATCTTGACTAAAACTGAATGAATGTTTTTAATCTGACAAATGACTGAAGGTGTGTGTGCGTGTGTGTGTGTGTGCGTGTGTGTGTGTGTCTGCTCTGGCTTCTCAAACCCCAGTGAGTCGTGATGGATGGCTGCTCACTGAGCCTGGTTTCTTCCTGTGTAAAGGGAGTTTTCCTCTCTACTGTTGCTACATGCTTGCTCAGTTCTGGGATTGCTGTAAGACACTGACAATAGTCATCTAGTCTGCTGGGATTCCTTATAAGGAAACTTTAATATAACTGGCTTAATGAACTGAACTCAATTGGAAAGATTACTTTGTGAAGAGCCTGGAGACGACTCTTGTCATGATTACTTCAATTAAAAAAAATTGAAACTGAGACAAAAACAGGTTCAAATATGAAAAGTTACCAAATAAAACCTAAAATTGAAGTGATGTACAAAAATAAACTAAAACGAATTGAATCTACATTTTTGTGTTTCTAAATTCAAGCTAAAATGTGAGTTTAATAGTTTTATAAACACATTACATGTTAAGAATATACACAGACATCGGTCTGTGCCCTGTTCTTTGTTTCAGGTGACTCCAGGAAATGGGACAGTCCCCTCCTTCCCTTCATCCCCTATCCAACCTCCCCTCACTCGGACCAGCCTCTGCCTTGCTCTCGCCTCAGAGGCCTCAGACCGGGCCAGAGACTCCAGCTGGGCATTCCCATGCCAGACCCAGACACAGGAGTCCCAGTTCCCATTCTGGCAGTAACCATTCACCCCCAGACTGGATTAGTCTACCCTCTTGGTAGGCTAAATGTCTGCCCATTCTCCCGCCTGCCACAGCCCATACAAATTGGTTATCCAATGCTGGACTCCAGGACGGGGAACCTTGTTCTCACTGTTGGGGTTAATTTAGATCCAGTAACAGGTTGGTGCTGCTAATATCGTAACATAAATGATATTACATTTAGTTATTCATTATTGCCTTGTGTGCCTGTGAAGGAGATGTGCAGCCAGTAGGAGGAGTCCTGCTGGCCGAGTCCTTAATGGAGCCTCTGAGTGGGCGGATGGTGAGAATGGGAGGGGCCAGCACCAGGGCGGGACAGCTGGTGCCAAACGCAGGAGGGTACCAAACCTTACTAGACAGCAAGGTGCCAACAAGGATCTCATTCTTTTAAATAACTACATTTAAAAGAAGAATGCAACAAAAGCATGATGCGCTTAGTTTACGCTCACAAAAAATGTTCTTGAGTTTCTAAAGCAGCATCAAATCATGACAATATTCAGATTTCAGTTTTTTTCTGTTCTTGATAGTTTGCATTTTTGCCTTTCAATAAAACAATAAAAAACAATAAAAAAAACTTTATTTTGAGGTAATTAGAAGCGTGTGACATGTTACATTTAAAAACTAACACACCAGGCTGTCACGTTGCGAGCCAAGAGGAGGTCAGGACCCAAGATACAGAAACCCAGAGCGACACAAAGGCAGGAGCCAAGTAAAACGTAAAATCCTTTATTTAGGAATAACTGTCCAAAAACCAAAAATCCAAGAAGGGGCAGGAAGCCCAGATCCAAATGTCCAAGAATCCAAAAGAGCAAAATCCAAGAGGCCTAGAGGAAAAAACCAAATACCTAGAGCCCGGGGGGGGGGGGGGGGGGGGGGGGGGGGGGGGACGACAAGGAGACATTGCTGACACAAACAACAATGAACCGACAACACACTGAGGCCCTGTCCACACGTAGCCGGGGATCTGCCAAAACGTAGATATTTTTCCACGTTTTGGGTGTCTGCGTGTGGACAGAGAAAACCGGAGTTTTAAGGTCCGCAACGTCACTTTCAGCGACAAAAAATGCTGACATCACGTGTGCGACCTGTGTTTACACTAGCCGGCAGCATGGATGCCCTCAGAGCTGCGCTCGCTTTATCAATAGTCCAAGCGCTTTTTGCTTGTTTGTTTTTGCAAGCGGAATTACTGCTCCTTGCGGAAGACCACAGATGAAGGGTGAGGTTAAGAACGGGGGAAGTACTGCCGCCTACAGGTCTGGCATGTCCTTAACAACGTATTTATCCGGGTACGTGTGGACAGTTTTCTTTTTAAAATGAGGTGGTGTGGATGCAAGTTTTTGGAGGGGCGGATATTCGTTTTTGAAAAAACCCGGCTACGTGCGGACTAGGCCTGAGACGCAGACAGGGTTATATACACAAGGGCTGGGTGATTAGGGAATTGTGCACAGGTGAGACAAATAAACAGAGAGGAGGAGCACAACGAAGCAGGGGAGGAAACCAGACCTAAAAATGGGGAAGGGAGCAAAATGAACTAAAGGGAGAACGTAAGGGAAACCTAGAGAGAACCTGGAGGGGGTTGGGGACACAGAAACCTAAGGGGAACACCTAAGGGAAAAAAAAACCTGGAGTGGGCTGGGGAACACCAGAGGCACATGAGGGGAGATGCAGACAAGGAGACACATGAGGGAGACACAGAACATGACACAGGCACATAACAGCAATGGATTGATTTAAAAATCACTTGAATTAATGTCACATCTGTTCAACTCAGGTTCTGGTTGAGATGTTTAAAGTTTTGGATCTTCTGAAGTCACTTACTGAGGAGTGGGATTCAGATCCAACTCTGCAGCACATGCAGCTCCATCCAGGCAGCGAGAATCCAAGTGGTCAACAAGATGATCTTGTTTCTGTGACCAAGGAGCTGGAGCGGTCCTGGGGAAAGAGTCTGCACTGCCAGCTGCAGCTGTGGACCCGGCTGGAGATGCTGCTGGACTGGACTGTGGGTCTCATGAAGGATGGAGGCACTCTGGGTGAGAAAATGCTTTAAACAATTGACCTTTTTCACCTACATAAAAAACCTTACACACTGTTCCATGTGATGTGATTCTCATAGTAAAGACCTGACTTCTTGGTTCTGATTTACTCATTAATCTTTTATCTAATTTATATTTATTTCTGCACCTGAAACATATTCCTGTTTTAAATCAGGAGAGATGCCTTTGCCAGGTTCAGATGTGCGTGTTCCAGCTCTGCTAGGTATGGAATATCCTGACCCCATGGGATCTGGTCTTAGCGTTCCTGTGCTTGGGTGTCAGCGAGATCCCATCTCTGGGAAAACAATTCCCTTGGCTGGAACCATGGAGGACCCAGATGGAAAAGGTACATAAGAAAAGATAGAACACACATTTTTACATTTCAGTTTTTAAGTGCTCACATGTGCTCTTCACCTCACAGGCCTGGTGGCGATCCGGTATGGATCCCAGACTGTTGACGCAGTAACTGGGCTGCTGGCACCGGTAGTTGGACTGAGGCTGGATGTATCTCGACAAAACATCATACCAGTCACAGCTTCATACTGGTTAATGATGGCAGAACAAACTGATAGTATACAGGTGGGAGAGATGATAAGATGGCCATATTTTCATGACTGTTTGTGAAATGTGCATTATAGAGACTTATACAAGTTTTTGTTTCAGAGCTCTGTCTGACTTTTTAAATGTTTTGCCAGGTTGAGGCTTTGCAGAGAGAAGTGTGTGTGAGAAACACCTACTGGCAGCAGCAGAGGCAGCGTGAGGACGATTTCCTCACCGATCTGGACTCAGTTTTGATCCAGAGTGTCTGTAGAGTCACAGATGCACAGGTCAGCAGAGGGAGTTCCTGTTTTAGTTGTGCGTTTCTCTTTGCTTAGAGGGATGAAGTCAGTAAAATAAGCTGAATTAAACAAGAAGCTGTATGATGTTGGGCAGCAGTAGCTCAGGAGGTAGATAGAGCAGGTTGCCTCATGATTGGAGGGCCATGGGTCCAACTCCAGCTCCCGCCAGGGGTATTCTGCTGTTGTGTCCTTGGGCAAGACACTTCACCTAACTTGTCTGTGTTGGTGGTGGGTAGAGGGGCCGATGGAGCCAAATGGCAGCCTCGCCTCTGTCAGACTGCTCAAGGGCGGCTGTGGCTACATAGTAACTCACCATCACTAGCAGCATGTGAATGTGAGAGAGTATTTGAGTGTCCTAAAAAGCGCTATATACGTTTGATGTATTATTGTCGTTTAAAACAGCGCTTGAAAAAACAAACAAACAAGTAAAGCTGCAAGATTTTGAAGTTAAGCGGTTTTTAAAATGTGTTACCTTTCTTGGAATTTTGAAATCAACTTTCATGCATTTGGTATTAGAGCTGAAAAAGCAAAATGTATGTCTCCTTTTCACACGTGTTTACTCGTCTTTTCAGATTCGGTGGTCAGGGAAGCAACTGAGAGATGTAGCTACAGAGCTGCAGGATTCAGCCCAGACTGAGGTCCAGAGGAGAGCAGCTCAGCGCTCCTATCTGGCTCTGATCCTGCCTCCACACGTGTTACACATCCTCACATTTGGTAAATCACCAGCACTGATTTTTGACACTGCTTTTGGAGTCAGCATAATAAAATGCTGTGCTTTTTATCTGTGGGTTCAGGTGATGAAGAGGAGTGGGATCAGCAGTGTGTTTGGCACTCGACGCTCATGTCTGGACTTGATAAGCTGGATGTGTGTGTGGATCAGCTGCAACAAGACTATGAGAAATGGAAGTCACAAGCTGGAGATTGGTCTACAAACCTTAACGCAATGGTCAGATTTATTTTCTTTGTGGCATTTCTTTACACATAGGTGAGCAGTTCATAATCGTCTTGGGCTACAATTGAAAAACTACAACATAGAAACTGCATTGTTGGTTCTTTTTGAAAACACAGAAAAGGTTTCTTTTTTACCTTGCTGCTGACGCTTTCGTTCGCGGCTGTGAACTTCCTCAGAGCTGACGCTGATGGTGGCGTCACTTCCTACTCAGTTTATCCGCGGGCAGCAGAGGACGTTGTCGCCCTCTGCTGCCCGCTCTCCCCTCTCCGATGATGCAGACAACATAAAGTTCACATATGAGTCAGAAAGAGAAGGCTGCATAGTGGCACAGTTGTTAGCACTGTTGCCTCGCAGCAAGAAGGCTGCAGGTTCGAAACTCGGCTGTGGCCTTTTTGCATGGAGTTGCATGTTCTCCCCATGCGTGCATGGGTTTCCTCCGGGTACTCCGGGTTCCCCTACAGATCACAACATGCCCAACAAGTTAAAAATTGTATGTCACTTTGGATAAAAGTGTCTGCCAAATAAATAAACATAAACATAAGGCAGCATAGCATTTGTGGACATGAAAATAACCAGACAGACTGACGGGACCCTAAACATAAACAAATACAGGAAACCAACACACACAGACCAATATTTATTATGGACATCAGAACACCCTACCAAACACAAAATGTCAGTAATGAAAACATTATATCACCTAGCAAACATAATAACAGAAGAAAGAGACCGTAAACAAGAGGACAAACACATACAACACGCTTTAAAGACCTGCGGATACCTGACATGGGTAATAAACAAAGGAAAACAACAAACAACAACAGAAAGAAAAGAACAACCTAAGTAAAGAACCAGAAACCCAGAAAGACAAGAACCACAACCAGTGATAACTCTACCATACATCAAAGGCATGACTGAAAAAATAATAGCAACAATGAAAAAACATAACATAAACACACCAACAAAACCAAACACAACAGTTAGAAACAGACTAGTACACCCAAAAGACAAAATATCAGCTGGTCTTAAATGTGGAGTCATTTACAAAATCCCATGCAAACTCTGCAATAAAACATACATAGGAGAAACCGTACGCCAACTCAACACACGAACAACAGAACATAGAAAGGAGTGTGAGAAAGAAACAAGTCGAAGACACACAAGAGCAGCAAAACAAGAAGCAGAAAGCACAATGAAGAAGTCAGCCATAACAGATCACTGCACAAGAGAAAATTATATAATAGACTGGGACAACACAAGGATCATAAACACCGAACAGAAACACAAAAGTTGGATAAAGGAAGCTATAGAGATAAGGAGACGTGGATGCGGGACTATGAACAGAGACAATGGGGTCTACACACTGGATCGCCCATGAAACTGCATCATTGGAGAGGGGAGAACGGGCAGCAGAGGGCGACAGTGTCCTCTGCTGCCCGCGGATAAACGGAATAGGAAGTGACGCCACCATCAGCGTCAGCTCTGAGGATGTTCGCAGCCGTGAACGAAACTGTCAGCAGCAAGATAAAAATAAACCTTTTCTGTGTTTTGAAAAAGAACCAACAATGCAGTTAGAAAAGCAACACAGCAAGAACGTACCAAAGATACAACATAGCAAGCTTTAGAAAGCCTCAACAGAAGATTGGAGCACTCTGCAGTACTGATGCTGAAGTGTAATGTGATTATTTGGTCTTCAGGACAAAGAGCTGAGGCAGAGAGAGACATTGCAGCTGTGCAGTTCCAGACAGACAGAGCTGGACACTTCTCTCACTTCGCTGCACTTTGTCAGACATCTTTCTCAGCTGCGTGCCAAAACTGCACAGGTAAAAACACACAGATATAAAACATAAATTTGTGTCTTTATAAATATTAACAGATCTTTGTCTGGAGTCAAGTTAATTCTTATTACATAAGCTGCATTTGTCTGTTTAGGCTGTGCTGAGTGGGAACTTCTGGTTCAGGGACTTTGGTCTGGTCCAGAGCTGTGTGCATAAACTGAACGTGACAATCCCTGCCTCTCTCCAGCAGAGGGCCCTGCCTTTGCTGGAGAGACTGATTCATCTCCTGGAAGAAAAGCAGCCAACCGGCTTCTCCTCTAACTTCTGCAATCAGCACATCTCTGGTACATCACGAGTAGCAGAAAAGCAGATACCACACATACAATATCTTAATCATTACTTTGTAAATCATTGAACATTGACTTAACACACATCAGTCTTGATTATTAGAGTTTGTTTTTGAAGTATCTGAATAGAAAGAGGAACAATTACAGTTGAAATGTGACATTTAACATGTTTTAGGATTCTCAACAAAGCAGGCAGATTGTGTGGAGATGCCTTCCAGAGTCTGGACTGCTTCTGTGCCTGTGGGAAAAGGTATGTGCTTCATAAGGCACTCTAAATCCTGAATGTCAGTGTGGAAATGCACACAAAACCTTCAAATGAGATCTAAAAAAAAAGAAGAAAAAAAGAAGAAAATCTTTAGAAAATTTGGAGCCAAGACTCACTTTTATGACAGTTCAGTGTAATTGTAGTTCCCCTGAAAAGATTTACTCTACAAAAGGAAGCTTTAACTCTGGTTTATGGCATGAGAAACTGCATCCGGCTTAGGTGACAGGACGAGACAGTTAAAGAGACGAGAGACAAACAGCACACAGCAAAATCTGTCATTTGCTGGCATTGCAGCATCAGAACAAGTGGTTGTACAAAGGGATGTGTAAGGATTCTGAAAACTGCCCCAGACTCTCTAGAGCTAATTGTACTAAGGGTGATGCATCATGGAAACAAGAACAGCCCAGAGCATCCTCTAAGACAGAAAATCAATTGCAGGGTAGTTTTAACTAGAGATTTCTTCAGACTTAGTATCTCAAGAAAACCCTTGCATGCATTAGGGAACATGCAAACAGCAAAAGCTGAGATTTGAACCTGGAACCTTTTTACTGCAAGGCACCAGTGCAACAATCTGCACCATCGTGCAGCTCTGCTCAAACAAACTACAGTATATATGTAAAGCAAGAGCATTAATAATTACTAAAGAATTTAATTTCTGGGAATTTGGGAATAATGAAGTATTTCAATTTAAACTATGTCTTTTTGAGGATAGATTTCTCAATCTGCTTTTATCTCGTTGTTTATCTTTTAAACCTCAAAATTGAATTTAGTTTCCTTTTACAAACTTTAATTGACAACTTTACTGTGTTTACAAGGATTGATCCCCAGTTTTAGGCAGTGAAAAGACCTTCCCTATGTCTCTAAAGGTCTCTCTACTCAGTCTTTGAGGGAGCCTGTGGCTCGGTCCCAGGAGATCGGTCTTCATGCAAACTCATTACTGACACAAAACAACTCAGAAAGACAAACAGCATCTTCTGGAGTTCATTCTCAAGGTGAGATGGAGCTTAGCATATTTGTCACTTTCTTTAACTTCTTTAAAGGTGTGGTTCACAGAACACCCATTTTTAAATGAATATTTCTGATTATAACCAGTCACTCTGAGATTTCCCAACAGGCTGAACATGAAAATAGTCTCCTACACCTGTCTCCTGCATTAGCTTCTGATAGAAAATAGATGGTGAAACGCTAGGATATGAAAAGCCTGACAGATCTACGTCACACTGTCACTTAACCCCGGCTTTCCACAGGAGCCGTCAGCAGCACGTTACTGCAGCAGCACGTCATAGCTGCTGATAGAAACCGCTGTGGTCAACAGAACCTTTTCCACTGGAGCCGTCAGCAGCGCGAGTCGGCCGCCTCTCAGGAGCAGCATGTCGCAGCCCTTACGCGCCGGTTCTATTTTCTACGCGCGACGCCTCTGAAACGGGTCAAGTTCGACATTTTTGGGGAAAGAAAGACAGGAAATCGGACGCGGAAATGGAGAGAAGCTCCCGAGATTTTCAGAATAAAGAACGTACTGCCTTCGGTTGCTTTACTTAAAAAAAAAAGTTACTAACTGTGCGTCCCCGTGAGAAGTTATCACCTAGCTAGCGGTCTCCTTTGTTTTTCAGGTCCGTATTGGCGATTATAAAACGGACAAAACATAAAAGACAAACCATGTTGTAGTTCTCTCCTGCTTGTTGTGTTTACTGACGAAGTCACTCGTGCGACTTCGTGCTCCGTCGGTGACAGCTGCTCCCCTGCTGCTCCACGTCTCGTGGGAAGGGTCAAGCAGCAGCTTACGCGAGCAAGACGTGCTGCTGCAGTAACATGCTGCTGACGGCTCCTGTGGAAAGCCGGGGTAACGTTCACAGACTCACCCATCTTGAATCACAACGAGGAAAGCCGCTGTTAGTTTAGTGTCCAAGAATCAGCAGAGAATGTTTTGACTTGCAGAAGCTAACCACTAGCATTAGCAACTTCACCACACGGCAGACGCTCCTCTAGGCTTGTGTTATTAGTGGAGATAAAATATCCACGTTGCAAGTCAGTGATAGAGTCGCGTTGATGTTATTCAATCCAAGGCGAGATGTTCAAATGTCAGGAAATAAAACCCCAAAACCTGCCGTCTGAAGGTCAGCTGTGATGTGGGTCACTACCAGTTCCTGGAAATGGTTCATCAGTATATTTCTTCCTCCAGAGTACAACCCACAAGGCATTCATTCCTAACAGAGACTACTGCAAATGTATTGGAGGTAGAGCAGGTTGTAATGGGAAGGTTGCAGGTTTGATTGCGGCTCCGATCAGAGAATGCTGCTGTTGTGTCCTTGGGCATAACACTTAACCTGTCTTGCCTGCTGCTGGTGGTCGGAGGGACCGGTGGCATCTGTGTTCGGCAGGCCTCGCCTCTATTAGTGCGCTCCAGGGCAGCTGTGGCTACATCGTAGCTCATCATCACCAGCGTGTGAATGGGTGAATGACTGATAGTGTTTTGAAGGGCCTTGGGGGGTTCGTTAAACCCTAATATGGCGCTATACAAATACAGACCAGTTACCATTTTATCAAACAAGTGTAACGTCAGAAAGGGTAAATTTGTCACCATCTACATTGACCAACATAATGACCTTTCATCTGCAGAAATAAATCCACTTTCTATTTGGCCTTCCAAATCCAGAAGTTTCTGTAGTGCTTGTTGACATTACATGAAGACTAAACATTCAAACAAACATTCTCACCCAAGGTTCTTGCACTCACCGTGTGAACGCCAGACGTAAACATTCTTCACTCTGAATAAGTGAAGACTCCACGATGTTATAGTTTTAAGTTAAATAATCATATGTGATGAATGAACAAGATGTTTAAATCAAATGTTTGAATAATCTGTGCTTAAATCAATGAATTTGAAATGAATATTGTTCTTACAATGATGCATTTATATCACAAATCAGTATGTGTTTGATTTAACAAGTTAATCATTGTTTACACTCATACACCTCACATAAGGTTAAAGATTCTTATTCACAATGTTAAGAATTTTGTATCTGAAGGAAGGCGTGGCTTTCTGAGGGATGTTGGTAAACACTCAGAAACATGTCAAATTCTGATTGGCCAAACTTGGCCAGAAATCATAACAAGGTAGTTTAATAAAACAAGACCTACTTCCCAATTAATTCAGTTTCTCACTGACCCTCGAACCGGCCAATTCAGGAAAGAAGCATTTTTGAAAACATCTTCTCCTTTGACCTCCTGTCAAAGCCTCTCTGAAACACTGCGACTGATACCAGACAACCAGCTCTCCTATGAGCCAAGCAAACATCAACCTTAGACGCAAATAAGCATTCCAGCTTTTGGCCTTCACCTCGAGGGATCTCAGACTGGAAGGGTCTTATTAGAACTTTCTACGGGTTCCTGATATCAGAGTTCACGCCATCGGCAGTGTCCCGCATGACCCCCCAGATCGAACGAGAACCTCCACACCAAGGGTGCTTGGACTTGACATGATAGATTGTGTCTGATGATGTTTTTATCAATAACTAACTAACAACAAATTCTTTTACACCCAGATTTCACAATTACTCTCAGATACAAAGAACGGTTGCTACAACATCTAGCTTCCATCACAACACCTCACATCTACCACGTCACATCTCATTATTCATATCTTGTCATGTATAAATGATTAGTTTAGGAAAAATAATTAAATTAATTTTATAAACTATATACTGAATCTGTCTGAATTAATTCTGAATCAATACGAAGTGTGTATATGGTCCCTAGTTAAGTAAAGAACCCTAGAATCTTCTGATTAAACATTCAAGGATCAATCAGATTGATATTTCATATTTATATGGAAAATCACATCTTATTGGTCATAATTAATGTGTATTAATTCCTACACAAGTAAACCACACCTTTAATTATATTGGAAACCAAGCTACTTTCTGGTAATGTCTGCCTTTTAAATAGCAACATTAATGCATAAAACAAAAAATTTAACCAGAAGAATAAACTTTGTTAGTGTTACAGGAACAATCAACACAATTTGGGGGCTTCTTGTGCAACTGAGCACCCCAGTGGGCGAGCTGTAGAGGTTGAACACGATTTGTGGGAGTTGTTTGTGGGAAAACCGCCTTTGTTGCGCCTTCCCCGCCTGAGTATTTTGGATATTATGTTGGGAGTCGATTAACTGGTCAGTCTACATTCCAACCCTCATCTACGATCACGAGCGTTGCTAGGGGTCGATAGAATGAAATTGCAGATACAAGCAGCCAAAATCAGTTTTCTCCACTGGGTGTCTGGGCTGTCCCTCAGAGATAGTGTGGGAAGCTCGGTTATCTGGGAGGAGCTCAGAGTAGACCCGCTGCTCCTCCACATCGGGAGGAGCCAGTTGAGGTGGCTCGGGCATCTGGTTAGGATCCCTCCCTGGTGAGGTTTTCTGGGCACATCCAACTGGGAGGAGACTGGGTCTCTCTGCTCGGATGCCTCCACGACCCAACCTCAGGGAAGCGGAGGAAACTGGATGGAGCGATGTTGGGAGTTACCACAATGGGGTTGTCATTTTTTAAAAATGCCATCCAAATTACCCTCATCATGCTATTACTTGATGCCCAGGGTGCCATGGTGACTGGATACATCTTAACCCTTTTTCCAGTGGTATCTATGAAAACTGTTGCTATTTTTAAACAGAAAGTCAACAGACGAAGGGATCTGCTCCGTTGGCACACATAGCTGTCCCCACCTTTTCAGGTATTCTAATTTTTATAAATATCGATTTAGATTTAGACAACTTTATAGATTATTTAACCCTTACCCAACATTAAAGCATTTTTTTGTGCTCAAATGACATTAACGTTCGTAAATTTAAACGTTGGGTAAGGGTTAAACACCAATGGACAGTTACTTTGTGGTCTCCCAGTTCGTATTTTTAGGTGGAGGAAATACAAATGAAAAAAGATGAAAATGTATTTATGCTTTTATTTGTCCCTTTTAAACACTTTTAAACACTTTTAAACACTTTTTTAACACTTTTAACACAATCCACTTTTAAACACCCTCCAACAGAGGAGCAGTGGAAACGGCTGCTGGAGCTCTCTCCTCTATTCCAGCTGTTAAAGGAGGTGGAGCTACAGCTGAAAGCCAGGGCTGGGAGGGCAGGGCTTCTTAGTCAAGACCTCAATGGTGAGTCAAAACATTTTCACTCACAAAGTCTAGAGATGTTTGTGAGCATGTGCGAACCTAAGAGTCTGAGTCCAGATCTAACTGAAGTGTGTGTTGAAGGTAAAGGTTTCATGGATGTCCTCGATGCTCAGTGGGAATGTGAGGGAGAGCTGATCCCTTTGAATCTGTCAGTGCTCAACCCCAGAGAGTTCCTGGTCTACCAACATGGATTATTCCTGATCAGTACACTACATCATCTACAACTGGTTAGTGTGCTAGTTTCACTCTAAAACGAAAACCTTTGCTTACATTTAAAATAATCAAATGGTCTTTAAGGCAAGTCTTTTTTGTATTTAATCTCCAAATAAATTCCTTAGGGGTAAAAAAAACATCACTTCAGTTATTTTATGTTTTTTTGTGCATATTTGTAACATAATCCAACTTTTCTAATTTCATCCCATCTAGATAGATTCAGAGAAACAAATATATTTTCCTCTTTTTCAACAGACTCCAGCTGTTTCCCTTCAAATAGCAGCTAGCCTCCCAAACAACAACTATTTCAACAATGCCTTCAGGAATTCTTTTTTTTATCAGGTAAACACCACGGCTGATAACCTCCCAAAACACGAGGTCAGTCATTTGCTGAATGCTCCATTCAAAACCGATCAATTTATCAGAAATTAAACAAATATGACAGGATCTAAAATCCCGCTTCAGTTGTATTCAACTGAATTTTTATTTATACACCTTTCACATCCACTAAAGGTAGCCCATAGGTGCTGAAGACAGCAAACTGATAAAAAAACACATTAAAGGTGCTCTGGAGTAAAATACTTCAATGAGAGATTTATGTAATAAAGCAGAGGTGTGACCAAGTCACTGCTTTGCAAGTCACAAGTAAGTCACAAGTCTTTCTAGTCAAGTCTCGAGTCAAGTCCAGGTCAAATACAATCAAGTCCAAGTCGAGTCCAAAGTCAGTGATGTGGAAGTCCAAGTCAAGTCCAAGTCCTTAACTTTGAATTTTCAAGTCATAATCAAGTCATCTGTCCAGCTTCTATTTAATGATAACGATAATAAATAAATTCCAGAAATAAAGCTTCTTAAAGCTTCATTTATTTGCTCAAACAAGCAGAAAGTGCAACTGAAACTGATTATAAACAAAGTGCTGCTACAGCTAGCAGAACAAGATCAAACCCAGAACAAAGAATGATTTATGATTTTTGTCCATGTCATGCAACTTTTGTGCTAAAATATCAATTATGCTCAAGTCATCATCAAGTCAACAGATGCAAGTCGATTCAAGTCGCAAGTCATTGGCATTCAAGTCCGAGTCAAGTTGTAAGTCTTTATAGATTTAATCAAGTCAAGTCTGAAGTCATTAAAAAATTGACTTGAGTCTGACCCGAGTCCAAGTCATATGACTCGAGTCCACACCTCTGTAATTAAGCACTCTGGTTAGATGATTGTTACTGAGACAGGTGAATATTATGATCTTAAAATGTCTCAAATGGATTTTCTTTCATAGTGTATTTGCAAAATAAAAAAAAAAACACTGTTGCCTCTTCTGTTACAAAGTAAGATGAGCTCCAGATTGCCAAGATCCAACTTCAAAACTTTTGTTGCAACATTTACATTTAGAAAAACTGCTAAACTGACATCTTTATCTTTTGTAGCTGTGAATAAAAAGTCATTTATTTTCAGAATTTTGTACAACTGATGAAATCTCCACGTTTTATTTAACAGCTATAATTTGCTCAGAAACATAACTCTTATTGTCCTGTTGGCAGGAAGCGGAGGAGATGCTTTTTGTCCGTCGCCAGAGGTTGCAGTCTGTTGGAGGCTTCTCTCTCATGTTGATTCATTGTCTGTCTCATATCAAAATAAAAGACATGAGCCCAGACTCCAGTCCCGCCTTCCAGAGGCTTTTCTTCAAGGTGCAGAAACATAAAATCTACATGATAGTATAGATCAGATGTTCAATTGGAAGTGTTTTCTTAATTGGACACATGTTCTCCTTATGTTGTTTTCTTATTATCTATTATTTCTCTAAATCCTAGTCTCTTCAGGAGTGCCTGGGACAACTCTTTCTGGCAAAAATGGACACGTCCCCCTCTGGACTGTCCAGTTTGTCTGAGCCATTTCAGGAGCAGGAAGACGTAACAGAAGTTTTGTCCGACCCCCATGGTGTGGCTCTGCTTCACAGAATTCACAAACCAAGCAGAAGATTGCTGTCTGAAGATGTAAATGAGTAAAAATGCTAATTTTTCTACTGTTTAATCATGTTTCTGAGGCTTTGTGTACTTGTGATTAACTGAAGCCGTATGTCTGTGTGTGGCTGTGTATTTTCTTTGTTGATGGCTGTACGAGCAGGTTGAGAAAATGCAGTCGAAGCACAGAGAGACATCCTTGTTCACCCATGTTGAAGGACTTCTGGAGGACAGAAAGTCTGGGGCCATCGAAAGTGGAGAAGACCAGACTGAATGAACTTACATGTATTTCTGAGATCAGAATCTTATTTCATATTTCTTGTGTTGTCTCATAAACCTGCTTGTAAGTTTATTACTTTTGTCTTTGTAAAATGCTACAAACACACACACACACACACACACACACACACACACACACACACACACACACACACACACACACACACACACACACACACACACACACACACACACACACACACACACACACACACACACACACACACAGAGCTGTTAATCAGAGTCGGAGACTAGCCACGGAAGCTCACATCTCATGAAGATTTAATCTCAGCTTTGATGATTACTGTTTTTTTAAACACTGCTTGGTTCATCTTAAACAGTTCAGGGGTGACATGACTTGGCAAACAGAAGAAAACATGGCTTCTAATTACTCCATTAGCTGAGGATTATTTTGCACATGAACGTTGAAATTTATTTTAAATGCATTTAGACACACATTGATATTTAGGTTGTTGTTCATGTGCTGATAATAAACTCATCTGTGTAACTCTAGACAGCTACACAATATGTGTTCAGAATTATAAGAGATTTCCAGCAGTGGCGCAGCGGCAGTCGTGGACCCAACAGTTTATGTGCTAATGTGGGATAAACAAATTTCTCAGCTTAAAGTCTGCACCAAAGAGGTTGTTCTAAACATTTGGATTTCCTTTTTAAGCAAAGGGAATGACTGAGGTCACGCTATTTTAACTCAGCCTGCAAGATTTGACTTGAGAGAGAGAGAGAGAGAGAGAGAGAGAGAGAGAGAGAGAGAGAGAGAGAGAGAGAGAGAGAGAGAGAGAGAGAGAGAGAGAGAGAGAGAGAGAGAGAGAGAGAGAGAGAGAGATATCTTTGATTTCCTCATTCAAATGGCACCAATTTTAAGTGAGGCACAGTTGTGGATCTGAAGAAAAGACAACGCGCTGTCAGCAGTTCTCATAGCCAGTTGGAACACACACCTTGTGTGCTAACAGATTATGCAAAAAGTTGCAATACTGAGTGAGGTAAATATGCAAAATATGACCAAATCTGCACATAGTCTTTCAACATCAGATGTACTTGTAATGGTGTAATGTTCTTGCATGAAAGAACATTCCACCTACCTACCTACCTTCTACTCATCCATCCATCCATGGAACTTATTTCTGGAGATTGACACAACATCAAGCTTTCATTGTTCTTTGTTTATTATTTTTAAATTATAACAATGAACCAATTTAACAAATATGTTGAATTATGTCACACACAGAATGCTGATGTTTTACAGCATCATGTACAAAGGAAAGAGACGACTAAAGTACAGAAATACAAGGCACAAAAGATGCAACAGCATCTGTTCGTGTTGCTTGCTTCTGCTGGAGACAAATGAAGGCTGGGCTTTGCAGGAGCTTCAGTGCTGTTTGTGCCAGGACCTCCTCAGGTTTACCTAGCTGCACTGGCGTTGACAGCGATGATGATGATGAGAAAAATGACTCCACAGACGCATGCGATGATGTTAAGCGTTCTGGCTGTTTTTGATGCCTCCTGAGCAGCAACTGAGTTTCCAGACTCATTAGCACCTTTTGCCTTTAGTGAGACAATACACAAAATTAGAAACAATTAAATAAACATGTTTATATAAAAACGATTACATTTGCAAAACAGCTGAATTTTATGATGCGTTTTGGACATGATCTACATACATTCAAATTTGAGTTATGAGTAGAAGTGATCAGAGATTCTGTCACAAAAATAAGCCTTGCAGTTAACGTCTTTGGCTACCCCATAAGAGGAAAAGTTTAAAACTAAAAAGTGTGACATTTTCCTACCTTGGATGAGAAAATGATTGCAGCAATCCCGAGAGGCAGACAACAGCACAAGGTGTTAAAAATTGACCATGCAAGGTAGTCTGGGTAAACTGCACGGGACTGGCCGGATTCCATTTCAGCGTTGTGGTTTTTGTATCTTGGTCAGTGTCTGGGTAAAATAGCTGATGGAAAGTTTAAAGCCATGTGCTTTTATACCTCATGGGCGTGGTTACAAAGAGCTGTGAGTGACTTACAAGAGACCATTAAAAAAAAGACAAAAAGTCAAAGCTGGATTTGAGAAACAAGGAAGGCTGAAAACTGGGTAAAACCATTAAGAAAGACTAGAAATGAACGCTTTTCTAATTCTTTGTTGACTTCAGTCCATTCTGTGAACTCCCATGTGCTGTAACCAAAATTTGATGGCTTGATATTTCTGATTATTAGCAAAAGTTTCATTGAAAATCCAAATTATTACACTAATACTCTATAAAAGCCCAGTTAGAATCCTATCTCAGCCTATTGTAAAGATCCTGAAATAAAGTTAATGTGTTCTAGCCAGAAAGTCTCAATAACATTGCAGTGTTAAATCTCAGACTTATAAAGCGTTGACGGACTTCATGGAGGGAAAGTTCAGAGAAAAAACAAAATTCCACAGCATTAGACAGACTAAGGGAACACTGGGACAACTGTCATCGGAAATTGTGGAAAACATGATAAAACTGAGAAATTACCCAGAACTGAACAACCTCGTTGATGAAAAGACAAGTTACAAACTGGTCAAAGAGGCCCCTGGCAACACTGAGGGAGCAGCAGGAATTTCTGGAAATCACTGGATGTGAACAACATGTAACAATAAGCCTCTTTATTCTCTACATCTGTAGCCTGAACGTCCAGGCCCAGCTAATTTTTAGTCAAAAAAAGCAGCAACACAACATTGTCTCCCATTAAGCATGTTAGAGACCATGTTACAATCTACAGAAAACAAAGTGGAACTTGTTGTTTACAATTCCAAACAATGCATCTGGATACAAATCAACACTGCTCAATGTCAGAAAAGTGGAGTTTATAACAATGAAGTTGTGTGATGCAACTTTCCACAATGTCTGCACATGGTCTCGGTTCACACGGCCAATCATCTCGATCCTTCCCTTCCAACAACCTATGCACCCGTTTTCCAAAATGGCTCAAAAGATAATCTCAATGCTGTGTGTGGTGTCTTAGGAGTCTCTGGTCTGTTTCTAAGCATGTCGGGACCAGTCGGATCATGAATCTTATTTTGAGGAAAAACAAGCATACTGCATGTTGAAAGTGACGTCTAGGCAATCAAAAAGTTATCTTTAGACCTTTTCAGAGCAATATGATTGAGCAATCTCAGTTTGAATGAATTATCTTGAGAATAATCTGTGATGATTTTCTGATAACTGTTAATATTAACATCCTGACTTTTAGAAATGCTTTCGGTTTACGACAAAAACACTTTTAGTGTGAGTGGAGATCGATTGTTTCTTAAAGATCTTAAAACTGAAGTAAACACATAATTTTTCCAGCCAAGACTTGTTGAGAAGCTGCTCACTGGGATCCGTTCATTCGTAAAGGTCAGATTCTTAGATTCATCCAAGTTTCCATTCCATTTAGGGCAGGGGTGGGGAACCCTGGTCCATCGAGGGCTGCAATCCAGCATATCTTAGTTTCAACCCCGCTTCAACACACCTGATTTCAATCAGCAGATGATTAACAGGCTTCTGCAGAGCTTGATGAGCTGCAGCACAGATGATTCAGTCACTGAATCAGAAGTGTTAGAGCAAAGACGTACAGGATGCCGGTCCTCAAGGACCAGGGTTCCCCATGCCTGATAAAGGGGATTCTTCTGGAAATGGTTGGCTATAGTTAAGATGGATGCAATCCTATTTAGTACTGAATTCCAGTCAGTTTAGGTTCAAAAGCTCCAGATGTCTGAATATCTTTAATATGACCCAAACCATTTACCTAAATCAACCAAGGACACTGAAAAAATGGCTTCAGTGGAAGAAAATAAAAGCTTTGGAAAAACCTAATCAGAGTTTAGGCCTAAATCTGATAGGAAATTGCTAAAATGACTGGAATAAGGCTGTGTAAAGGAAATGCTTGAGCAATTAAACCAGATGGAGTATTTTGCAAGAAGGAATTGACACTCATTGCCTGGTGAAGTTCTTGCTTTACCCAAGAAGATTCAGTGCTGTGATGAAACAATGAAACAGGTTTCACAAATTTTAGTTTAAGGGTGTGCACAGTACATTTTTACCATAATGGTGGGAAAAGGGTTTGGGATTATTAATTTACTTTTGTTTACCACACTCAAACCAAGTGTGACAACAGGGGTGTGCAGACTTTTCACTTCCAGTTTACCTATTGAAGATCTGCTCTCTCTTTTGTTTAAAGCAAAGCAACTAAAGGACACTCAAAACCGTTCAATATACTTTGGCAAAAAAAAAAAAATGATTTTATCAGCCACCAATTTAGCACGTTCTCCCACTTAAAAAGATGAGAGATGCCTATAAGCATATCTCAACTATGAGAGACAAAATGAGAAAAAGAATCCAGAAAATCACATTGTCTGGTTTTTAACCAATTTATTTATAAATTATGTTGTAAAATCAGTATTTATTCAATAACAAAATTCCATCTCAGTACTTTGATACAGTGGGATGCAAAGTTTGGGCAGCCTTGTAAATCTTCATGCTTTTCCTGAATAAATCATTGGTTGTTATGATAAAAAAATCTGTTAAATATCATATAGGACACACACACACACACACACACACACACACACACACACACACACACACACACACACACACACACACACACACACACACACATTCTGATGTCGTGAATCAGGCCACCAGGTTAGCTCTAGATGTTAAGTCTCAAGGTCCTGACTCACGGTACTAGATGGTGGGCTTGACCTCTGCCCCTTCCTGACGAGCACCTTACTCTGTGGAAAGAGAAACTGTTACCTGTATGCAACCTGGGCATTTAATTCTGGTAAAATCACCTTTATTTTGCTGTAGGAAGACTCATGCTGTATCAGAACACACTGCAAGAGCTTTTCACACTCATCACAGATCCCCGTCAGCTTCCCCTCTGATCAGGCGACAGCTGATGTAAACAACCTGGGATGGAATGAAGCAACCAGCAAACTTACCTTTGCTGCGCCAGAGAAAAGAAAGGAGGCCCCCACGAATTGCCTTTTATTCCTACCCGATAGAAGGAGTAGTTTATTTCAAACACAAATGAAAAAGGATAATCCACACAGGAAATGAACACGTAGGCAAAAAAAAAGGAAAAACTCTTATCAAACACCCAAGTCTAGCAGATCCACGGAAAAGCACAATCCCTCTGTTTAACACACACTTCAACTGTCACAGCTCTTACCCCCACCAGAACCCCAAACACTTATTTCTCACATCATGCATTATAATATTTCTTTTCATTCTTCCGGGCTGTTCCTTGTTTTATTACTGTCTCGATTTAAAGGTCAACTTTTTTTAACACCTGTTGAGAGGAAAAGTCACATCTTTATTTTTGCAGCACAAAAACTCCCTCTCACCTCTTCTTGCAGGCCCATTCTCCTGCAGTGGGAACTTTTGTGGTTTCCTCCCTCCCTCTCTCAATAGCAGCTTCAGACCCATCTCTAAACTTCCGTTCATCTCCAAGATCTTGCAAAAGGTTGTATCTAAACAGCTCACAGCTGCTCTTGATGAACATAACATCTATGATTGCTTACAGTCAGGTTTTCGTAGAGCTCATTCTACTGAAACAGCTCTTCTTAGGGTCTCTAATGACCTTCTGACTCACAGTGATGCAGGGGACTGTTCTGTTCTGGTCCTGCTGGACCTGACTGCAGCCTTTGACACTGTTGACATCACCTACTACTGAAATGGCTGAGAGAATGGGTAGGCCTATCAGGAACTGCTCTGGAGTGGTTCGCCTCTTATCTTTCTGAGCGTTCCTTTTCTGTGGTCGTCTCCAAGTTTAGGTCCTCCACCACCTCTCTCACCCATGGTTTCCCACAAGGCTCTGTGCTGGGGCCTCTGCTCTTCCTCCTCTATCTGCTTCCTCTTCAGCACATCCTGAGCTCCTTCAAAGGAATCTCCTACCATCTTTATGCAGATGACATCCAACTGTACATCTCCTTTAAGCCCCATGAGATGTCTAAGCTACAGCTGTTACACACCTGCTTAGACTCTATTAAACCTGGATACTGAAGAGGATCGCAGACAGGAGCAAGGTGGAATAGAGGAGGTTAGTGGAGAAAAGTTTGAAAAAGTGGCCGGTGACTGCGGCCAAGCCAAGTACAGGCGCCATCTTGTTTCCGACCGGAAGTGGAAGTGACACACACAGAGAGGAGCTGAGCTTAGGCCTGTGAGCAGGAGTGGAATGGAAGGAGGTCAAAGGTTTACACAGAGGAAGACTATCTCAGCCTTGATTTATTTTATCAGCAAGCCTGATACTAGTCATTGTTCAACAACTGATATCTGAGAACTGGACACACAAAACAAAATTTATAGGATTTGCAGAAAGTGTGCAATAACTATTTAAACAAAATTAGGCAGGAGCATACATATGGGCACCACTAAAAACAAATGAACTCAACATTCAGTAGACCCTCCTTTTGCAGAAAAAAACAGCCTCTAAACACTTCCTACAGCCTCCAATGAGGGTCTGGATTCTGGTTGAAGGTATTCTGGACCATTCTTCTCCACAAAACATCTCTAGTTCATTCAGGTCTGATGGCTTCTGAGCACGGACAACTCTCTTTAACTCGCACCTCTAATTTTCAATAATATTCAAGTCTAGGGACTGAGATGGCCATTCCAGAACTTTCTACTTGTTACTCTGCATGAATGCCTTAGTAGATATTTAGCAGTGTTTAGGGTCGTTGTCTTGTTGAACGGTCCAGCCCTGGTGCAGCTTCAGCTTTGTCACTGATTCCTGGACATTGGTCTCCAGAATCTGCTGATATTGAGTGGAATCCATGCATCTCCCAACTTTAACAAGATTCCCAGTCCCTGCACTGACCACCCAGCCCCACAGCATGATGAACCCACCACCATGTTTTACTGTAGGTAGCAGGCGTTTTTCTTGGAATGCTATGTTATTTTTCCTCCATGACACTCCTTGTTATGCCTAAATAACTCAGTTTTAGTTTCATCAGTACACAGCACATTATTCCAAAATGAAGCTGGTTTGTCTAAATGTACCTTAAC